ATTGTATAATGGTCCCGTGAGTTGGGGTGATTTCTGATACAGGTCTGTACCTCTGGACTGTCTTTCCGCTGAGGTTTGGAGCGTTTGCCCTCTGCCTGAGAACTCTTCAGGCCGTCTTTCTTTCGCTTCTTTCCAGAGTCCTGAGGCCAGCAGTGGGAGGTCAAGTCTGAACATGTTTCCAACAAAACCTCATGGAAAACCTTGTTAGCGATGCTCCCTGGAAGCAAGAGACACATATACAGAAAGTTACCTCAAAACTGCACACACAAAACAATCCTGTACATTGAAGTCAACCCTATATGGAGACGTACTGGCAACAAACCAGAGAAAGAGACTTTTCACAGATGCACCCAGCAAGCAACCCAAACTTTACACATCAATAGAAGATTTTATTAAACAACAAAAAAAAGCCCACATGAAAGGCTTGAGCGTTTTAACACATGTAAGAATGTAGCTGATGAGACCAGGTACTGCTGTGTGTGTGGGGAGCTCTCAAGTTATTCATGAAGTGCATATGCATGTGTGTATGCAGCAGATGCAGTACACATTCCTGCCAGTACACAGCAATGCACCAACAAAGGCAGGGGAAAAGAAGCTGGCAAGCTAGCAATCCTGAACATAAACAATGCTGAAATTTAAATGTAGAAAATCAGCTGTGCAAATGTTTTATGAGGAAGGAAATACATTCAACATGTTTGTCAGACTTCAAGGATTCACAATGTGTTTTGGTGAGTAACAATGAACGTAAAGATTAACACTTGTTTGTTTACAAGAAACTCCACTGGGAACCTGTAACCTCAACAGCAAACAGTATATTTGATTTTTAGTTGAGACAATGCAATTTATTCAACATAGTTCCAATACAGAGCATGAAACTGATATGCTGCACAGAGTTTACAGCTAATGCTAATTTTCAACTCTTGTCCTTTGTTGGGCTTTTACAGGTACTGTTTAACCAGACAGCTTTCAGTAACACTAAACCACAATACAATAAGTTATGAAAATACAATTAAATGCACAAAAACCAATGCACCTTGGCCACGTAGAGTACAATTAGCTCATGGGTACAGATCTGGTTTGGTTCTAGCCAGCACCTAATAGTTGTAGTAGAATATTTTATATCTGGAATTGAATTGATTTTAGTTGGTAATGTGTTCCAGAGTTGACAGACGGTATTTCAGTTACCATTGCCCATTCTCCTAGTTACTCTGTTACGGTCTTATCTTTGGATATATCTGGAAAAGGGCTCTGGGGCTGGACTGTGAAAACATTGTTTGAGAAAACAAAAAAGTGCAAAGCTTTCAAAAAGGTACGCAGATTGTATCTTTTTGTCCATTATTTTCACTGCTTGATTGTTAAAAGCTTAAATAATTAAAGGAGGACTCTGGTTCATTGCAACATTTTAGTTAATAACACTGGTCAGACCAATGCTGTGTTATAGGGAAAAATAAGGTGAGCAGTAAAATTATTGCCCAAACTGTCAGTTTACAGACGCACTTCCTGCTTCAACTTTGACCTACTGTACTTACTGTAGTTAAGCGCACTCAGTTAAGTGAAAAGACGAGTTATACAATATCAACTCATGGTTTCAATAGTTCAAAAGTTGAAACCTTAACTTTGGGGCTGCACTGAATGCAGACCTTCTTCTGTGTGTATTTCTCAGATTGCTTCACCTGGGATTCCCAGCAGCAGCAGGTAGAGTGAGGCGGCGTGCAGACTGATCACCCTCTGCTGGACGTTGGCCGCTTTGGCTTTTCCCGCCAGGACAAAGAAGGACAGCACGGCCACCAGAGACTTGACCGACACCCCGCTCTCCCCAAGAGTGGCCCAGATACTCTGCAGTGCAACATGGGAGACAGCTGGTGCTTACTGCTGCTACCCAACAGGAAAACAGATACACAGCAGACTGATGTTTTGCATCAAGGTCAAAGCACACAGCAAGTTTTGGGATTGATTACCCAGCTTTCACTGAGCCACTAGTTTCAGTATATGTTAGTACACTATAGGGGAAGTAAGTCACTAAAAGCTTGTAGAAAGTCCCCTCCCAAATACTGTTTGCAACACAGGAATGATTGCAGTCAATTTAAACAATCGGTTGCAAAAAAGTAGCACAATGCTTGCTCTAGTCAGCTTTTATAGGAGTGTGTACTGCTTCATAGTAAGGATGCCTCCTAACAGTTGACCAAACCTCCACAGTCAGGGAGCTGCACCTTGTCAATAGGGCCGTGACAAAAGTATCAGGTGGATGGTTGCTCTTCTCTTGTAACAGTCACAAGCGATATGGGGCACTTTACTGCTAACTAGAACTGTCAAAACTAGCCAAAAATACTTGATTATTCCTTCAAAAAAACACATAGATTCGAACCATCTGAATGTCTATTTTTGCACATTATGTCCATAAGAGGGCAAACTAATACAACAAGAGGCATAACTACTTGGATATGTATATTTATTTCAACATAAACATGTTCACAAGGAAAGTTAAAATCAAGGGCAACTGGACGTGAAGATACGTGGAGACGTTCCACCTCTTATCAGAAAGGCTTTTTCAGTTCTGAAGGGAATCCCAGCCATTTAACCTGTGTGTGGTCATTCTCCAGGTGAAGAATCCCACTTGCTTTGTTAGTGCTCCTGTCTTTAACTAAACATGTATTTTAAAAGATCTACATACTTACGCAGAGGACAGAGTGAAGAGTTTTACCTGTGGAGCTCCATCTGTGCCTGCAGCCTGTTGATCAGCAGCAGCATGGTCGAGTAAACACTGGTACAGGGTTCTGAAGTCCTTGTCTCCACTGAGTGTGAGCTCTTCCTCTGTGGTGTCATCTAGTGGTTTTCTCTCTGTGAACTCCAAGTCCCACACTGCGTCCACCCAGGCTGGAGATCACAACAGTTATCACATAACCTAACAGACAGTGTCTCAGAACTTGGAAGAATTAAACGCAGGTAAATGTTCGCGTGCGAAAAGTTGGATTCCTCATTGTCTCCATGTAAGGATTTAGCTTAATTTAACACTGTGAAAGATATTTTCACCCTCAGAACAATGATGTGTGTGCCTTTTAAATTGAACTACTCAAGAGCTGTAGAAAGAGCTGCTAACCCTCAAAGAACACCATCACCTGTCTAAATGCTGTTTCAGGCGTTTAAATAGGGCTGCAACTAGTGATTATTTTCATTACAGTTAGAATGACAATATTAACTGAATTAGATAAAATCATACAAATGTACCTACATAATAATGATATGGAGTATGTAATATTGCAGTGCGTTCTGGTAATGACAAGTGAACGTTAATGTTCAGGTAACAAGAGTTGGAACACTTTTACACTACTACTGATAGTGTCTTTATTTATGTGGTGGGTTTATTAGATGTACTTTATCCTGCATTTTTTTTTTGCAGTCGACATGTATTTGTTTATTGTTAATATTCAGTAAACATACGTGAGTTTACTTAATGTTATGTGTAGAGCCTTGCGCCAACCCCGGTTAATTAACTTGTCAACTTGCCTCGTTTAAGCGTCATTAATTCTTGGTAACGTTGCAACATGGCTCTAACACCTTTAGGCGTATTAACTAAGGTTCAAACCTCTACTCTACAATTCGGTGTGCAGGACACAGGGTAAGCTGTGGAGGACAGTAGTGTGTGTCACATGTTTGCCGAATTCTCCACTGGCTCCAAACGAATCAGGTATAATGTTTGAAGTTTCGTTTTAACTATCTTATGCTTCCAAACCAGCCAGAATAGTCTCATTAGTAAGATATGTAATGGATCGTTGTTCTTTCTGGGATAACAGCAGTAATGTTACAGGGCACAAAACCCGGGAAATAGCTCATTTTTGCGTTAGCAGTAACGTTACAGTTTCCTTGACAAACTGAATTAATTTCACCCCCGTTAGTTAATAGAATAAGGAAGATTGTTTGCGACATACATAACTATACATAATTTTACCTTCCGGAATGTCATTTAACTTCAGAAACTGCAGCGCAGATATCAAATCCATCTTGTTTATATTTTGAATCAGCCCGCCTGAAACTACACTTCTGTACACATGCGCAGAAAACGCATTGTTCGTCACTTCCCCCTTTTCTCTTTCAGCTTTTATTACCGCCATCTTCTGGCCTGGAGCGGGGCCCACATCATCGTCTCAAATCACCCACTATATGAGCTCGCCATTCTGTAGTGCTGTCCGAATGTATAGTGATAATTATTATAAAAGTAGTGTACAACCGATGGTCACTAACCAAGCCCTATATACCATCATGCATTGTGCTGATAGAAAAAATGACTGTCCGATGGCAATGACGTAGGCCTAATTATAGCCTCGAAATAATGATCGGAGTTAGTGTCCCGCAGTGTTATTTACATGTAGTCCTCTACATACAGCTCCCTAGGGAGTAGGGAGTTGTGAATGAGTGATGATTTCGGACACAGCCCATGTGTATGGCAGCATCAAAGTTTGTTTTTGTTCTGTAAATTATTTGTGTCATAACCAAATTAAAATTGGCTGCATAAATTGGTTGAGAGTCTGAACTTTGTATCACCCCTAAAAATAGCAGATGCTCCATAATCTTAGTTTAGTAAAACAACTTGCTGTAATGCAGAACATATATTTCTTTAATTTGAAAAGTGTAAACATTTAACGGTGTCACATTGGCCATAATTCTTAGTGTAAGAGTTGAGCTATTCAAATAGGCGTAGGCTACTGTATGCCAGTGTGGTCAGTATATGCATGTGATATACATTCTATAGCGCATTACTTTGGCACGGTCCAAATCTGCTGTGAGAGGCTGCAAGCTGCAGGGAGAAGGATTCACCTTCCAGTCTGGTTTTGTCTTTTTTCCACTAATTGGCACTTTCAGGTGATGCTGTGGTAAATTAAATGTTTGAAGTGTATAAGTGCTGACTTGAATGTTGGGGGGATCCTCTATCTCATGTTTATTAGCAGTCATCCTGAGAGCCTCCACAGTGAAATCTATTTTTCACACCCCTACACAACACAACAGAGGTTTACATTTTCAGTTTAATTCCAGAGGAGATATTATACTACAGTCTGTTGTACAGTACATCAATGTTAGCTTCTTCAGCAGGCTAACATCACCTGCACTTTATAGAACTTCAACCAGGTTGTATTTTTAGGTCATTTAGCAGAATATTTCTTTCACAGCTAAGACAGTACAAAAAAGAATATTTAGCTTGTTTTTAACATCATAAAAAATATCACGTTTTGTAACACTTCTTGAGCAAAGAAACGTTTACAACAAAATATAAAAAAAACAACTGCTAGTGTATGGGGACCCTAAAGGATGTGACACAGCTCAAATATGGGGACCCTGCCCTTCCTCTTCCCATTGACTTGCAGACCTGAAGGTCCCCTGGTCTGTCGCAGAGAGCATTGAAAACTGCACTGTTAGTCAGTTTCTCTGTCTTGTTGTGGAATATTACAGAGACACGGGAATCATATTGGCACCAGTAATGAAAATCCTTGAACCAAATCCAGCCCAAGTGGGATGCTGGTTAGTGTTCTCCTAAGACCACTTTCTGATGGTTTTGGTCTCGTCTTGGACTCGACCGCATTTGCACTCGGTCTTGTCTCGGTCTTGGACATTGAGGACTTGGGATTTTATTTCAAGACCAGTCAAGACCGTAACTTTGAGAATATCAATAATTTGCTTTTGCATTGTCTGATTCATTTGTTAACAACCTAACTTTGATTGGAAGTAAAACATAATGCTTCAAATGCAACCAATAACCCTAATTAATGACGGTCACCCCTCCCTGTGATGCTTACGTTGATTTCAGCTCTTAGTGTTTGTATGTGGGTGTTTTAATGGGAATGTGGATCTTTCAGATCAATTTGTGAAGCACCTATGATCTCGTTCCACATTTTATTGCGTACCATGCAATGCAGGGAACTGGTCTTGGTCTCGACTGGTCTTGGTCTTAATTTGGTCTCGGTTTGAGCAGTCTTGACTACAACACTAATGTTGGTAATGTAATACTGCATAACAAGAGTCCATGCTTGTAATTAGGCTAATGAAAGACATTAAAAAGTATGACTTAATCAGGACCACATAAAGGATCACATCTGGGGTAGCTGGATGGTGGAGCACACTGGTAGACTCAGCCCATACAAATACAGCCACACTTTTTGGTTTTGGGTTTATTAATGAATGAAGTTTAAAGTTTAAAAGGATGATTGTAAATAGAACTTAGAGCAAAGCATTTGAGATAAAGTGTCCAAAAAATTTACAGGTGTGTGGGATCTATGTCAGTGTTAGTTTCAGTTCTTCATGACTGAATATCTGCTGAAATATGACCTACCGCCTCAATACCCTTACATTTTGTTGGATTAAAAATTAAATATATTTTCAGATCACATTTCAAGTCAGAAAAAGGTGGTAAGTTGGTGATTATTAGTTCATATGTATATGAATGACAAAAAACACAGTTTCTGTACAGCCTATACTATACTGTATATGAAAGTGGGAATTTTCTATGACATCCTGTAAGTCACATTTAGGTGCTTGAAGCCAGATTTTCTCCCTAAAATTCTTAAGTAGTTTTAAAGCTAAAAATAAAGGTTGGAAAATCAATTACTTTCCATACTGTCTGCATGACAACATATGACAAGATAGATTCTGTTTCTGCTTGTTCCAACATTACAAATACAACATGACTTAAAACCCACAGCCCACAGTGGAGTTAAAGAGGCTAAGGGGGAACAGTGGTCACCATGAAACCCCTATGAATTAGTGATGGTAAACTCCTGCTAATTGACATTAATTACATACTTGATGTCCTTTGTCTGCTCTTCCATCCCTGCTGAGCTTCAGTTCACAAGTCATATGGATCAATTCAGTTCAATTTATTATTTGTATAAGCAGGCAATTTGTGCTGCAGTAAGCATAAAAAATACATAACAAACTATAAGAAACATGCCGTATATAATAGAAATATAGAGCAGAGAACACGGGCCGGATGGCTCACACCAATGCTAGCTTAGCTCATCTCATCAGGCTGTAAGTCCACTGTAGCAGCACAGGGCCCATAGATAGTTTGAAGCTCACTGAACCTAGAACCATAAGCATATAATATAATACCGGTATACATCATCATTAACAGCACCAGTACATCTCCATTATCAAACAAAACTTGACATGTCCGTGTAATTCTGGGCCTCTGAGTCACCACAAGATCAACACTTCAGATAAGACAAGATATACTACACTTCAAGTAGGCTTAAGTAAACATTACAAACAGAATTATCGCTATCATTATCACCATCATCACCACCACCGTCTTCATCACCATCACCATCTCCAGCATCCCCACTCCCACCCATCACCAAGGTAATGGACTTGTCCACAACAGCAGCAGTTAGCTTCTCCTGCTATGAAGGAATTCCTATACCTGTTTTTTATGATAATAAGGGCCTTGAAGCGCAGGCTAGATGGTAACAGTTTATACTCTGAATTAAAGGGGTGTGCACAATCTGAGCAAATGGCCATTGCTTTTATAAGCACCTCCTTGATGAACATGTGATTCAAACATCTGAACTGTACTCCCTCTATCTTACTGCCAACCGTCTATATTTTGATTTAGAGACATTAAGTTGTAGAAAATCGTTGTCATATTGTCTGGATTTCTAAATACCCTGGTATACTAGTGTTATATTCCACTGGAAATTGTGTGTGTGATTGTCAAACTGTAAGTTTCTGAAAGTTTGTAAATTATCAAAAAAAGTTCTCAGATCAGTGAGCTGAAGGACTTTGCAGATGTTTGATGAAAAGCCCTCTATTTAAAGCATACTGACGCCTTTATGGTAGCAGCCACTGGACCACCTTTCAGAAGAATGCTGTCAGATGAGCATGTCAATCTCTTTGTCCATGGCCTCCACGTTATTCTCCTGGCTGTACGTGACCCATTTGTTGAGCCTGCTGTAAAGAGGCAGTTCATTCTTCTCCCTGTAGAGGTAGACACCAGTCACTCTGTTCCAGTTAGCTCTGCAGATAGGACGAGCACTCTGCCCAGTCATCTGCTCCTTCTCTTCCTTCTCCAGTGCCACAAAGCCAAAGAAGTTCTTAACGTTCTCTGCAGCCAGGAGGCGAGCATGGACTGCTGCCGTGCGGTTGAACAGGTTGTCTTCATTAGAGCGGTACTGAGACCAGTAGTCCTCCTGCTGGTAGCCAAGAGGAGAGGCGCAGCGCTTTAAACAGAGCATCAGGAACACCACCAGGGACATTCCTGCCACCAGCAACCAGCCTATCAGCTGAAAAGAATAGAAAAGAACAGTAACAGAGTCAACACCATGTTCCAAAGCACTGAATCAATTACATTTGTGTTTGCTGTTCGCATATTAATTCCTTTGTCTGCTCCACCTGTCTTTTTATCTGTGGCTCTTTGGAGCACCTGTTATTAACAATAATTTAACAATGTTAATCATCATTGGCAGTGAATTTCAATCATGACTATCAAATGCTAGAAAGGTAATGTATTTGTCATGGCATACAGCTAATTCATATCCTTTTTTGCATCTTACTTTTTCTGTCGCCGTCAGACAGTCGCCATTCCCTCCCTGTCCAGCTGTGCCTGCTTAGTTTGCCTTGTTTTTTCACCAAGTACACCTTGCTTTTACCTTCCTGTCCTGCCTGGGAGTTGTGCTGTAAAGTCCATCCTGACTACGCTGTCACAGATTTAGGTTATGGTGTGGACACTGAAATTAACTTTGAAAAATGTATACACAATAAAGGATTGTTTTTTTTGCATTCAGATCATTTACACATGTGTCCCCTGGATTTATATTCGTCATTTGAAAATACTGCTGTTGGTTTATAAAGCACTGAATGGGTTAGGGCCACATTTCTGATCTTCTGCCATGTTAGACCTCTCAGGTCATCGGGGACAGGTCTGCTTTATGTCCCCAAACTTAAAACTAAACCTGGTGAAGCAGCATTGAGTTTTATTGCACCATATATCAGGAAAAAACTCCCAACTGCAGGTCTGCTGAAACCCTCAGCTCTTTTGTATCAAGACTAAAGACTTTTCTATTACCACTGACTTTTATTAATGTTTTAACGGCCTTAACAGGGCCAAGTAGAATTACATTTTTCTCTACTGTTTGGACTGCTTTTACCAAGATCTGGATTCAAAGCACTTAAATTGAATTGAATTAAACCAATATCTATGGAATAAATAAGAGAATAAGATAAGACCGTCCTGCAAAAACAAAACATAAAGTTCTCCACTACCTGAGATTCATAATTCAGTCGCCGCTCAATTTCAGGCCAGAAGCCTTGCAGCTCCTTTGGAACAGCTCCTGGACACGGGAATTCCGCCATGACATCTGAACCCTTATCTGAGGGGAAGCCCGGCAGCGTACTGGGGTCAATAAACTCACTGAGGGCACATGTGTATGCCTGTCCCTGCAGCAAAGAGATAACCACCCATGTTAGTGGAGCCACCACAGCTCGACCAATGATGCTTCCCAGCAGCATAAAGGCTGCGGCCCCCGACAGCTTCCGGCACAATCTGAGCCGACACTCGGACACCAGGTCCCAGGTGTTCTTGTTCATCATTATTCCTATGAGGAAAAATGCAAGCGCTGGAACACCAATGGCTGCCAGGCCGTAGAGGTAGTTCCTTCCAGAGGAACACGGGCATTTAAAGGCAAAAACACTGTACGCAGTCTGGCTGGCCACAGTGCCCAAAGCGATCAGACCGTTGAAGATCATCACATCTTTACTCTTGAAGAAGAGGGACACAAACTTAAAGTTCTCTGTGATGAGTGCAGCAGCCATGTTTTGTCTTTACTGAGATCGCGTTTGGCTCACAGCAATGTCAGCCTGCAGAGAGAGAAAGAAAAGGGAAATAAACAAGGAACTTTTAGTTTAACAGAAACTTCTGTTTCAAACAAACACACCGCGTTCATAGTAACAGTAGTCTGAAGTGTAATGAGTAGATTTAGACATGCAGAAAATAAGTGTTACATTTAAGTTATGCTATATATTGCATCAGACAAATAAATCCTGCATTTAATTGAAAACAAAGAGTCACTATGGAATGTAGTCATGCAAACTCACTCTCTGGCAGTGTCCTGGGGCGGGGCAAGTGACTCAGCCTCTGTAATATATTATAAACATCCCCTGCATTGAAAATCTGGAAAAACTGGAGAAAATATGTTGTCCAAAAACTAAAATCAACGTTATACACGTCAAGCTGAAAAGAGAGGTCCCTTTTTTTGAGTCTGCTAGCAGTCTGGGCACCGGTGATGACTCACAGGCAGGGACGGCCCTCCAGATTCCTCACCAGTAGAAAAAACTTGGTCTGCAAGTAAAAACATGTGTTGATCACAGAGTAGAGCAGCAACAAAGCAGAGCCGCACGGGCCTGTATGACTCACACATGAGGAACATGAATCACTCTCAATGGGCCACTAAACTTTCCAGAGCTCGAGGATATTGATTGATCCAGAGGAAGTTTCATTACAAATTTCAAAGGTGCAAGACAAGACGGTTAAAATGAGTGGAGAAAGGATTTTATATTCAAAAGGTAGAGGTACTTAAACTTACATAAAAGCAGGTGTTGGGGATTAGGGTTTAGATGGCACCAAGATTTATGTTTTATGATGTAGTATTTATTATTAATATTGTTATTGTTTAATAATTAATAATTGAATGTAATTTAAAGTTATATTCACCTCGGGGCACCACTCTTGAAACAAGAAGAATAATATTTGGTTAAAAATTGGATTAATGACCAAAATTACCATTAATAGATCGTCGGCTGAAGGATTTGGAGTTAAGGGGTTGGCAATATATTCATCATTATGCAACATTAAAAAGAAACCAGCATGTATATACACAAGCATTTATTATTATTATTATTATTATTATTATTATTATTATTATTATTATTATTATTATTATTATTAAAGCAAAAACACACAAGATGAAACTTACTGAAATTCACAGACTAAGAAAAAGAGAACAAACAGATATGTGTCCCTGATAAGGACAGAGAGAGAGAGTGTGTGAGTGAGTGAGTGAGTGAGTGAGTGAGTGAGTGAGTGCACATGTGGTCAAACAAAGAACAAAGGAGCAGGGGAAAGTTAAGTTTCCTCCTACTTAGGTTTGTGTGGTTGTTTAAGGCCAAATAAAAGTATATAAATATATATATATAAATAGAGATATTTATGTGATCTGTGTAACGTTAGTATACTAAGACTGTGTGTCTGTGTGAAGCACAGCATCTCTAACCAACTTAGCAGTGGCTGAGAACTGTGGTTACTTAATCTCACGTTAACAATGACCCAACAATAAATCTTCAATGAAAAACACATCAGTGTACCCTTAAAAAAGCTAAACAGTCCTGTGCTTAGCCAAGTTAATGTTGCAATTAAGCTATATGCACTCAACACAAAGTGTAGTTCAGTAACAACACCCAATTACACCTTTCGGAGGTCACTAAAATCAATGTGTCGGTGTGTATATGTATAAGACAATGTCAGACTCTAGTTTAGTCCAGTTGAATCTAAACACTGGAGCATTTACCTCCTTGGTTTCATATTAATACTTGCATTCCTTGAGGCACCAGCTGAGGAGGTGCAGTTATTTACAATTCAAGCCTATTAATCACTTATAAACCTAAATTATAACTCTTAATAATTTAAAAAGAAGGATAGTTTAATGGTACAACATCCAAACCTGTAAATTAAAGCAATCATTGCAAAATGTTGAAAGGAAATGGCTTTCCACTGATCTGAAAGAGTCACTTTTAATCTGGCATTATATTCTTAAAACGTATAAATTGCAGTGAGACACAGGAACAGACAGGTTCTGTTCTTAAGATGTATTAACAGAGAGGGAGCACTCTTTCAGAGGGTGGCTGTCCAAACAACTCCAAAAGCAGAGGTAATGTCCAAACAGAAAATCCAAATGGTGTGACAAATGATGAAAGTCCATCAAGAAACCAAAATCCAAAACCCTTGCTAATTATTACTCCACTAAAAGTAGATGTCTTTAGGGGCTTTCACACCTGAAAGTCCGAACCATCCAAAAAATACTTTCACACCAGAAACGAATCGAACCATGGTTCAGTTTGATCAGGACCGAGACTACCTCTTTTCGTCTGACCAAATTTCATCTGTTTGGTCCGGACTGTGGTCCGGGGGAGGTTTCACACCTGTATTTTTGGTTCGGACCAAACTGAAAAGTCTGAAAGTCCGGACCAAACGAGGTAGGTGTGAAAGCCCCGCTAAATTTCTACTTGAGTCAACATACATAAGTATCTGCTTTAATAAAATGTTCATGTATCAAAAGTGAAAAGTACTATTAGTATGTCAGGAGTTACTGACATGACAAACACAATTTAAAAATAATCATTAAAATAGTTGCCAATTAAATTTCTGATAATCAGCTAGCAAGTTGTTTCCACTAGGACAAACTTTTGGGTAGTTTAATTTATAACAAAACACCATATTTTTAAAGGTTCAGTGTGTAATATTTCTGATGCTCTATTAACAGGAATGCAATATAAGATCCATAACTATGTTTTCAGTGGTGTGTAAAGATGTTACATAATGAACCATTGTATTTTTATTACCTTAGAATGAGACATTTATATCTACATAACCATGACCTCCACAGCAGGCACCCCCTGCTGTGGAGGTCGCTCTATTTTGTCGTCATGTTTCTACCGTAGCCGTCAACGAACAAACAGCGCTACAGAACGTGTTTCATCATCACGGCGTTCTTCTTCTGCTTGTGTGATTTCGGTAGTGTAGACGCCTGTCACTACATTGAATACGTACAAAGAAGAACAAGAGGGAATAATAATAATAATATTAATAGTAATTCACAGTCTCCCAGTAGTCTTCTAGTTTATTAGAAGTAAGAAGAGAAGTGACATTTGGACAAATGAAAGAGCACACGTGTTATTTAGCACGAGAGCCGACAGCCAGAGGGAGTCGGGACAGACAGCTGACGGCAGAAATCACAGATTTTGTGGATTTTCCCAGATGGAAGGCTATAAAGTTAATGTGGCACAGATGTTTTCACAGTGGTGCTGAAGTTGTCTGTTTTCTGCTGGACAGGTAAATAACTTTAAGTTTGTCAGACTTTAGCGATGCAAATGAAAACTGTTGGTTGAGAGCTTTAGCTATTAGCTGGCCATAATCACAGAGAGCCATGTTTCCCCTGTCAGTGGTGTGAAATATGGATTAATTTCATGGCGCCTAATTTACTTATTCTCCAGCCTGTGGGCTGGCTTACCTTAGCAGACAATCAGCTCATAGGTAATGTTAATTGGCAATAAAACCGTTAGCTTAGAGCATTGAAGCATCAGCCAGCTAAACCCTTACTGACTGGTAGAAAAACATTTATTGTTAGTTGGATTGGTTTATTCTCCAGCGCTGTGCTTTGGTTTGTGGTGTTATGTGAATTGGATTAATTTCATGTAGTTACTCTCTCTCTCTCCAGCGCTCTGTTTTGGCTTTGTATGTTAAGTTCTTGAGAATCAGCTGGTCGCTAATTGGCAATAAAACAGCAGCTTCCAGCATCGGAGCTCAGATCAGCAGCTAAACTTTTACTGCGCTGGTAGAAAAAATATGTAGTTGGATTGTAACTTCATTTACTTATTCTCCAGCGCTCTGTTATGGCTTTGTTACGTGAACAGACAAACAGCTGATGAATATTATTGGTAATGAAACAGTAACAGCAGAGAAGAAGATCAGCAGCTAAACTTCACATTTTACTGCCCTGGTGGAAAACATGTATTTCTTTTTACTGCTAATGGTGATATATAACAAGACCGTGTGCCTATCAAGGGACCAATAATAAATTGAATTGAATTTGCATTAAAAAAAACTTTATTGGATATTGCTTCCCACTGTGCCCACAAATGTGTAATTTGTACTTTCACATGCTAAATGCACATTAAAAACATTGCACCGTTTTACCAAAAGCTGAAATTATGGCTGTTAGTATACTTTGTGTTTCTGTTGTATTTAAAAAAATTAAAAAAGACATTTTGGTAATATTTGCAGATTGCTTATCTAATTAAGCAAAGTGAGAGGAGCCTTGATCCTCACCTGACAATGCCTTTGTAAACTTCATGTATTATGTGGTTTATAATGGGCTGTGGTGCAGAAACAGTGAAGCTTACACTGTACTTTTATCTGTCAGTGGTCATACTGGATTCACTAGATGTGAAAGTTTGAGAATTTCTTCATTTTCTTTGGTATGTTAGTCCAGATGAGCCAACCCTCCCAAGTTGTAAAATATTGTATTACAGGAGTATGAGACATCATGTAGCACCTAATTTCTTGTTGTGGCTGTTGTTTATTATTAATATTCAAAAAATCTTTTGGTTTTACAATTTATGTAATTTCTTAATATATCTAAAAGAAACCTCATTTCTTGACTGGAAATCTCTTCTATCTCATAGAGGACTTCTTTGTCCTGTCTCAGGCACCTTAGCTATACTGCTTGCTTGGGTTGGGGAGGGGGGGTGCAATTCGCAACTCTCACCACGAGATGTCACTAGAACTTACACACTGAACCTTTAAACTCTTGTATGTATGTATTGTGTGTAAAATCTTACTTAAAGAGGTGGTATTATGCTCATTTTCAGGTTCATAATCCTATTTAGGGGTTGTACCAGAACAGATTTACATGGTTTCATTTTCAAAAAAACACCATATTTTTTTCATACTGCACATTGCTGCAGCTCCTCTTTTCATTCTGTGTTGAACTCTCCGTTTTAGCTATGGAGTGATGCATCTTGTCTCTAAATGATCTTTGTTGGGAGTTGCACATGCGCAGTTCCTAGTTAAGGACTACTAGCCAATCAGAAGCAGAGAAGGGCGGGCCCTGAGAAGCCGGTAAACACGGCTTCCTTTCTGCTGTACATGTTGCCGGCCAGCTTGCCAACATAGACTGGAGTCAGAGTTTCAGAGTGGTGAGTTATTAATCTGTAACAAAATATCTTTCATCCATAAAGTTTTAACTTTGGGTTTTTTCACTTTGCAAACCTGTTACATGCACAAAAAATCTATATAACTCAATAAAGGAGAGGGGTAAAGCCAAAAAGCAGAATACCACCTCTTTAACTAACTAGTAAAATGTATTGAAGTAAAAAGTACTATATCTCCGTCTGAGATGTGGTGGAGTAGAAGTCGAAAGTGGCATGAAAAGAAAAGTTTGGTACAAATACCTCGTGTACTTAAGTACAGTAGGTGAGTAAATGTATTTAGTTACTGTCCACCACTGAGGAGGGAAAGAAACTAGTTGCAACAAATCAGGGTAATCAGGAAGACAAGAAGCAAATCTAGACAAAGAAAACAGATGCAGTAAACCCCAAACTAAAACAGGAAATAGGCAGACACATGGACCAACAGACAGTCAATTTTAAAATAAAACAGGAACAGGACAAGTACACTGAACCAAAACCTTAGAAACACAGACAAGTTCTAAACATATTAGGTCTATAGTAATAAAAAAAAAAATGGAGAGACGGGAGAGGTTTAATAATGAGAGATTTTTTTCCCCCTGGAAAAATAATCACAAATCTACAAGTAAAACATTTAAATATTTTCTAACATTATAGTCATACATTTATTAGAGGACTCTCTGACAATAGTGTTTTTTGTCAAAGAACCACATCGCTAGGCCATGTAGGCCTATTGTGTATGCAGTGGAAAATTGCATTAAACTTCTGAATCAGATGTAGCAATGAAAAATAACTGTGATTTCAGCCCACATCACCACATTATCAGCCGCATTGGGACTTGCCATGCCATGATCTGGATTTTTTGTGACTTTAATTTCAGGGTATTTCTGAGTTTGTTCTTTCTCGTATTATTAACCCCCACCCTGGTTATTTTCAATCTAAATATTTGTAAACATTTAGGATAATTAAATAATACAAATGGGTTACATGTTAGAAATTGGCCCGTTAATGAATTAGGATCTAGGATCAGAGGCTGCAGCCTGTTTGAATGTAATGCTATTGTGTTAAGAATAACTTCCTTTCAGCTGCAACCCCAGTGGAACAAGTCAGGAAATATTTTATCAAGTGGTATGAAGTGAACAGTTCTCATTAACACTGAGTACAGATGTGGTGTGTAGTCCATGTATATGGATAACCTCAAGTTAACCACAGACATAACCTGCTCGGAACAGTGTAGAGTTGCAGCGTAAATTGCCATGACACCTGGGGTAAACCTATCCACCTTAAGTAGTGCGGGTTAATCAGGAAGTTACACCCGACGTTACATAGTTACTCCTGAAGTTACTGGATAAGCTGAGATGATGACAGTGGAGGAAAACAAAACAATCAGCTAAAAGAGGCTAAAACACTCCATAGTGTAGAGCTGGTGATCATTCTCTGTGGGTTTTTAACTATGACCCAAACTTCACACATCAACAATGTATCACATGATGTTTATAAAAATATTTATTAGTGCCTTTATAAAATATAAAATTGAATCTCTGTGTGAGTCTGTAAAGGTATTTGGTTCTAAATGCTCATTTGTATGTTTCCATCAATCTGTGTGGGTGAACTCAGTGTCAACAACCCGTATGCAAAACCAGCCAGTCCAAACCCTAACATAGTCAAATGACCCTTGCAACATGGAGCAAATATTTTTTTAGTCGTCCAAAAACCTTAAGAATTATTTACTTTGCCTGCAACGGAAGCAAAAGTACATGTGCACATTGTCATTAACAAACACATACAGTACACACACAGACATACACATCTGTGCACTATATTTAGTGGTACAAACATGTCATGGTGTCTTGTGTTGTTGCAGGGAAATATCTATTCTCATCACCACTACTGTGTCTGTTCAAAGATGGTCAGCTGGATGACCTTCCCAGCCCATGCTGTGGGCTGGTGTTCACAGACAGCATGCCTGGAACTATAAGGAATGGATAATTCAAATCCTGTGGTCATGCTCCTGCACATAGGCGAACATGCACAGGATATTTACAGATATTTTGAGTGGCTGTTTCCTTTACACTTTTATATACTTGAGTATAATTTTTTTTCTTCTCTGTGTCCTGTAAGCTTGGCACTCAGGTTCATGAAGCTTTGTTGTGATATGGGTGAGTGTCAGCTCCTCTGCAAGCCTCTGTGACCCACAGTTCCCCTTAACCCACTTCTGATTGTCCACACTGATGGAGAGGTTAACTTGTATTTTTGTAGAAGCATAATTTCAGTCTTAAGACGAACTCATCAGAAGCATCCAGTAGGGTTGTTAGAAAATCTGGTGAGAATTTTCCAGTAACAGGTCAGCACTTTACCAGAAACCATTCAACAGCTTAAGATCTCTGCTGTTACGCACTAAAGACAGGGCCTCCCCCTGACAGGAAGAACGTATGACCTCACATGTAAGAAACTCCCTCGGTGTCCTTTCATATTGAATGATTCCACACCTCACGATTTATGTCCAATTCCAGCATTCAGCGCCAATGCAGGCACTACTGATAAAGCTTATAGTTAGGGCTGGCTCACATGAGTCTAGAACCATCGCTTAGTTATGCTGCTATAGGCCTGGACTGCCAGGGGACTTCCCATGATGCACTGAGCTCCTCTCTACTCCTCTCTCTCTCCATCTGTATTATTGTTGTTATTGTTAGTATCATTAACATTACTATTGTTGAAGAATTATTGTGAGCCAGGTTCAGGTGTGGAGAAGTTTCGGAGACTGATGAAGACTTAACATAATATGGTTTATTGAGCCCGGCCGAGGAGACACTGTGCCAGCAAACAACATGTGGACAACACGTCGAATGCCAAAACCAAATCTGCAGGAGAATATCTTTTGGTCCCATTATTTTTCTTTACTCCCTAGTTCCTGTAGGTTCCCTATTAGGTCATTTTTAGCTGGCCTAAACCTAAAACAACAAATATATCAGATGTTTGGATTCCACATCATATTAGAATCTATTACTTTCCACGAGTTGTACTCAAATCTGTGGAGCCAGCAAGTTCTTGTAAACATTCTCGTAAGGCTGAACCTTTTGCGCTCTCTCACCCTCAACCACAAATGGTCGAGACAGATGGCCGCCCACGCTGAGTCATGGTTCTATCCAAAACCCTACCACGTGCATATTGCAGAAAGTGAACTTGGCACTGGGCTTGTCATAATCCAGGTTTATGGGGATTGGTAAATACATTCTTGTTGTGGCAACAGGGTTGGGGGAACACCACATGAATGAAACAGCAAGAGACTAAATGAACATCAGGAACAACATCAGCGACGTCTGACATCTGTCAACACCACTCACAGCATCCCCTGATGAGAGCTCAGTGGTCATCAAGCAGGAGTCAGTGGACGGAGATCATTCACATCTGACGCCAGTCCGTCTTTGAACAGAGACAGAGATTACCATTCACAACCGCCTCTTCTCACATGACCGAAAGGTCACGATTAGGTCCTCTGATGATGGAGCAGTGGATAAGAGACATACCTTTGGTGTAAGAGACCTGGGTTCAATTCTCCACTGTGACACATCCACCAATGTGGCCCCAAGATACTTAACCCCTAGTTGCTCCAGAGGAGTGGATAAAAGCGTCAGCTAAGTGAATAAACGTAAACCTATGCCAGCTCTATTTGCTGAATGAAGATCACGAGATGCAGATGAAAGCTCTGACTCATTAGTAAGTGGACTTAAGCTTAGACATCAGATTGGCTTTCGCAAATCTTTCTGCTACACTGAGGTGACCTACATCCAACATGTTGCTATATTTTAATGTTGATGATTCATCCTGCAGCGACACACCACTGAGTGTGTCCTAGACATCAGAGTATAAAGGCTTCCCGTTACGGTCCTCCCAGGTAACACACATCCTGGGTCTGTGGGCTATCCTGGTGACGTCCAGTTCAGGTTTACTGTAGTACCATTTGTTTAGCAGCTGGTCCACCTGCTCCTGCTTTGAAATCCCATGAAGTCTCTCTTCCTCTTCATCCTCCCACTCCGATCGGGAGTTCGTGATGAAGGACGGGTGGGGAAGACAGAGTACAGCATCCTCCCTCATGTCCTCAAAGAACTGCACCACACATTTACGGGCGAAGTCACGAGCGTGCAGGACGCAGGTTTCGTCAAAGAGCTTCTGCTCCACGTCGAGGTAGTTGCTCCAGTATCGCGTCTGCAGGGAGGTGGCGTAGTCGTCGAAACAGGGCTTGATGAGGCGTCCTAGTGCTCCCAGTACAATCAGCAAGAGGAGGATGGACCAGCCAACTGCCTAAACAGGGCAAGGAAAGTTAGCTACACAAAGCCAACAAAAGCTATCAGTCAGTTGGTGCAGTGATTGTGACAAGCCCACAAAGAGTCAGTGAAGCCAGTTCTTTTATTCCTGACACTCCCACAAAAGAGGGTGTGTGTGTGTGTGTGTGTGTGTGTGTGTGTGTGTGTGTGCGCGCGCGCGTGCATGTGTGTGCACGTGCGTGCGCATGCATGTGCACGTGCGTGCGCGTGCAGCCTGATCAGCAGATTGGTGTGACAATTCTTCTACATATGACTCTAAGATTGCAGTCTCAATGTAGCCTCAGATACTAAATGCACAGCTTGTCAGTCAACGTGGTGGTCGGTTTGTGCAGGGTTGCACTATTGCACCTGTTTTTACTGATGTTGCTGCATTTTAACCGTAGTTATTTTTCAAGCTCTGACGTATTTCACTCGAAGTTTATATTTTGGATTTAAATTAGAGATTTCTGCTTTATATAGTGATAATGATTAAAATATCTTTCATTTGCACATAATTCTACCACCATACAGATTCGCTATCAGCCAAGAAAACTGATGTAAATTTGATATGAACTTTATGTATCAGCTGATGTTAGCCTATAGCAAATATATTGTTATTGTCAAATATGTCAGCTGATAACTGTCAGTGAAGATATGTCTGAGATCACTGTGTCTCCATTACAGTTCCACCAGAGAGAACTGACAAGTATTTTTTTAGTTGTTTGGTTATGACAAATGGTTATCTCTCCAATTGATATCGGTCAGTCTGAAAAACCCAGTGAAAAACCTTGTTAACCATAAATAATTATATACTGTATATTATATTAAATAATCATATACCTAAATCCAAATTAAGCCTTGTATGATTTCAGGCTTTTGGGTTATGACAGGACATCATTGTGAATGTAGGATTCATTGAACAACACTTATAATTTGGTCACAGTCATTCCTGTTTTTTCACAGTGAGACAGAGACCAACACCTCAGAACACTTTGTGCCTCTTCAATGAGTCCCTGACATTGAACATGTCTGCCTTCTGAAGTGTCCTTTCTTTTGTTTCTATTTATCGAGGATATGTCTCAGGACACCCCCAGGCTTCATTTTTTGCCTTAATCCTGTATCACACCATTTAAGTGGCCCTCTGATCAGGCCAGGTGTATGGGAAAAATGAACCGTGTCCCTGATCTGACAGAACACACCACTGAAGGTCTTCAAAAGGATCAAGGTACGTAGTAAAGATGTGTTTGTGTGTATGTATGTATATACAGTATGTAAGCATGCTGAGGGTGGAACAGCTTACTTGTGAATAGCAACGAACGTAACGAGAGACTGCTTTGCGGAAAGAGCTGTTTGTGAAGATAATGTCCTCCTTGCAGGGCACTTTGGCCATGATTTTGATCACATCCAGACTTGTGTTGTTGGGAAAACCTGAAAAAAACCACCACATGATACATCATCCAGACCAATAATGTGCCATAAATAGATATATAGTAGGAAGAATAGTCATTGTAATATGTATTTCTCTATGTAGAATGTTTATGTAGATACCTGAGAAGAGAGCAGGGTCTACACTAACACTGAAGGCACAGATGAAGATCTTTCCATCCAGCAAAGTCACCAGGATCCACACCATCGGCGCCAGCAGAGCCCTCTGGATCATGGCCGAGAAAAGGTACCTGCAGGAAAACACAAGACCAGTTTTCTTTCCCACGTTTTCTACAGCTTGACCCTTAAATATTACCTTTAGTCTGTCACAGTCTCTGGCTACAAAAGAAAACTATGAGGGAAACACAATAGGATAGTGTCAGCAGCTTGTGCAGGAAATACACATTCATAAATACATTTTTGCCAATAAATACTGGATAAAAATGAATACTTTACTGCCTGTGCGTCACGGGATGTGGTTAACCTAGCTTAGCATAAAGATTGGAACCAAAGACTGCTCTGTGAGTGCACAGAACAGTACTCGCAAGTGGAAAGCCATCCTCATGAGGGAGCACATGCACAAATGCCTTCGCCCTGCCTATGTGCTCGCAACTGCTCAACACGCCTGCTCACATAGTCTGCGCTCGCTATCAAGCATAAACTGTTTAAATTAATCTCTAGAGACCTCTGTCTGTCAACAAACATCTCTACTGATGACATGTGCAGAGTTCTGGAAAACAGGAATGGAAATGAGTCTTTTTTTGTCCAAAGGGAGAATCCGGGAGTGGCGAGGCAGACAAAGGTGAAGAAATCAATAAAATGCATGCGCTTACAGAGGAACAAGAGAAATTCAGAGCCGAACTTCACAGAAATTGCAACAAAAAAAATGCTGGAAGGCTTTTACCAACTTGACTAACTATAAAGGATCAGTTTGAACTAACAGAGGCAAATTATTTGGAAGAGCTGCCAGTTATTATGATGTTACCAGAAGTCACTGTCAGTGCTGTCACTGCAGGGAACCCTGGTAGACTTAGCATCAGGTAGATTGAAGCTGAGTGAAAAGATCACTTCAGTCTTCCATGGAGTAGGAAGACTGGCTATGAAAGTTAAGGCCAGAAGATATCTACCCAGAGTGAGAGTGAAGACACCAACAGGTACAGAAAGAGCTCACATACTTGTCTGCTTTGGTCTGCAAGCAATTGAGGAAATTCTTCCTAGAAACTAAACTGGAAGATTTAAAAGTTTAATCCCTTATGTTCAAATTGATACTTTCAATCTACTGTGCACTCACATGCGTAGTATAGTTACAACGGTTTGTAATCCAAAAAAAGGTGATGACCTTGAAAGTTTAATGTCAGAATAACTAATGTGTTTCTCTGAAACAGTCTTAGTAAATTAAAGTTTTGACTCACTTAACCACAGCAGGATTTTTGGATCTGTTACCAACAGGTCTCATCCACTCCTCCATCATGACGCCTGTATGCCGGTTGACCAGGACCCCCAAGAAGAACAGTATGATGGGCGGTACGATCATCACTCCCAGGGAGTACAGTTTGTTGTACTGAGGAAGGCACGGGCAGTTAAAGTCAAAACTTGTGTAGAGCTTGACACTGACCAAGGCCAGGATGATACAGATCCCATTGGATATAGACTCAGAGTTGGACTGGAAGTACTGCAGGACTAACTTCAGACGCTCCATAGCTGAAGGAAATGTTCAGGGTGGTAGAAGTAGAAGTAGACACAAGTAAAATAGCTGATCCAACTGCTGCTGGGGTTTTTAATTCAACCAGTGAATACAGAAAAAGTTCCAGTAGTGAGATATAGTGTTACATAATGTTTTACCTCACAAATCCTTTGAAGTAAACTCCACAATGTAGCAGCCTCAGTAAACAACCTGAGCTTTTGTGTGCAGATAGCAGTGACGGAGTGAGTCCTGCAGTGATCCAGGGAGAGTCTGAGAATGTATGAATACACCTGACCAGGTGACAGAGCTGTGCGGCCACACCCTGCCTCACTGTCAAAGCAGCACTCACATCAAAGGCTTACTGAGAAAAGGAGCAACAGCAGTAGTTCCTGTTACGGCTGTATGGGGCCTGAAACTCTAAGCATTTGGGACTGTACAGTAGATGAGCCATCACTGTTGGTTTGAATTTAATATTAATGTTTAATCCCTTGTGTTCATAGTTTAGGGCTTCATTTCTTCTGGTTCAAACAGTCAATCCAGGAAGCACCGTTTAGAAAGTTGACATTGTAATTCTGAGGGTGCAATGGCATGTATCCTCTGAGGACCATGTGTACACTATAAATGATCAAATCAGCCCACTCTGAAGAACCGTTTCCAGCTATAAAGCTCAGTGTTGAAAAGTATTTTATCTGCATCATGAGATAAGGAACGAATGCTACTCAAAGGCCTATAAGAAACATGTTTTGGAGCTTAGGCTCACAAGGAAAGCATTTCAACTCTATTCAAGAAATCAGAACCTAACAGGCCAATATGTTTATGCAAATGCTGGGGAAAAAAACACCACATAGATATCAAGTTTACTTTATTTATATAAAAGACATGAAAAAACATGCTTCACCTGCATGAAAGTGCTTTGATTACAACATTGTTATAGATAATCTGTTCTGAATGGCCAAATAAATCAAGAGGACTAACCGGACACGTCACTACAGCTTTGTGTGGTTAAACAGATGCATAGACCCTGTGCATGCCAACAGTGAGAGGGCCGTTTGACTGAAGGTCAAAAAAGAATCTCAAGTCTCTTAACAAAAATAATTGTTTACGTGAACAGCTTCCTGAGTGTGACTAAAGAATCCAATTCATCAGGTTCAATGGGAAAACTTGTCAGTCTACAGGTCTGATTTCTAATCAAACATTTGGATTGCAATGTTGTGGGTTCTCTGGCAGGTTCTACATTGTGTATCAATGATAGTCTTAATGCCACTGTAAGAGAGAGAAGGAGGATCGCGCACACTGAATCTTTTTTCCCCCCTTTATATGTTGGCACAGAAATGATCAAAAGCTCAGAGATGTCCTTCAAACTCTTAAAAGGTGTACAGTGATTAAACACCTCAGACTATGCTAACACCAAAACAGTACAACGGAAACGCTCATTAAACAGAGTGGTATCAAGGCAGTTAAGAAAGTAAAAGACAAAACATACACTACACTACAAACAGCAGTTTCAGGATATTTTTGTTACATTTCAGTGACAGCAGTTGTGAGCCATCTGGGAGCAGCTTTAGCTTTTTTTCTGGGACTGGTGAGAAGTTCAGATCTCAATGTTTCAAATGTTCTCAGGTCAACGTCATCTTTGACGACTCTTTGGCATCGATCACTCTGAAGACTCCCACCTTCTCTTTCTTCAGGTTCCCCTTTTCTTTGTCTGAAAACAAATAATACTTTACTTTGGCTCACTGGTTACACAGTGAGAAGTCCGCAGTCAGTACAGATAAGAGATGATCACAATTTATACCTGTGAGTAGGTATCAAGCTAAACAGTCAACAGTCTGTAACAGACAACGGAGGTTCAGTTCACCCTAATGACCAAAACCAAAGTCTGGGTAACACTCTGGATCAACAATGGGACATGCTCCTTAAAAGACTACTCTGCTGAGTAATATTGTCCTCTTTTGGAAATGAGCAGCACAAAATTCCATTCACCTCGATTTTTGTACTGAGGTGGCAGCAGTACATTTATTTTGGCAGTTTGTTCTGTCAGTGTGGTACAGCTAAATAAAGACAGAAACAAATATTGTATCTTTTACATTGTCGTGTCTTTGGCCAAACTGTAACTAGACCGTAGTAATAGTAATAATTTTTTCTGCTTGTCCCCCTGAAAACTGTGTGTCTCCTCACCCAGCAAGTCACTGCGATCCAGCAAAACCTCCAGGTCCTTGTCGCTGATCACCTTCCCCCTTGATGCTTTCACCTCCCTGAGTGAGACAGAAGTTACAGCTAAATGTTGCTCACGTTCCATGTTCACTTTACATGGCCCAGATATTTAACCCTGTTGGAGTAGAGGATGCTCTCTTACTTCTCAGTGCCTCTGGCTTTGAGCAGCTCCATCAGCTCATCCAGATCAATGCAGCTTTTACTTTGGTTCAGCTCTGCCTTCCCGCCTTTGAACTTATCTGTGGAGGAAAGCAAAAACAAATCAAACCAGTTGGAAAATATTTCGTACCACACATGTTCCCGTGCTTACAATTAAAGATGTAGTGCACAATAATAATGACCAAACTGGTTTGTGCTATGGAAAACAATACTGATCTACTGCTGCAGTCAGTTTAAAGCAAGACATTTTTCTGTGCCTGAAGTGTGTTCGGGTTTTAAGATAAAGATGGAGGGTAGGGGGCAAGAGCATAAGCTTCCGCACACATATGGTTCCAGTGTTATTTTTAGTGTCGTTTGGCACCCAGACCTAAATATTTATGTAAAAACAGACAAAACTGGACATGAAACTTCCTGGTGAGATCAGAAAATATGTCTGTAACTTTGCTCCAGCTATCGTTGTACTTTTCTGTGAACAAATTAGCATAGCATAGCCCTGATGGATCCGAACTCCATTCAGAAAACAAACATTTTAGAAGTTGTTGTCCTGCTGTCTTGCTGACAGACCAGACAAAGCATGAATTCATATGTTTAACAAATCTGCATCATGTTGTAGTTATTTTGTTCATGTTATTGCGTTGTGTGTGTGAACACTCAGCAGTAAAACTCTGCAAGGATTAAATTTGCGTTTGGTCTGAATATAGCATAACTCATCAATAATCATTCATGCAGAAGAACGAGTTCAACATTTCTACTGTAGCGTCAACCTTTTTTAATGTCCCGCCTCCTCCAGGCTGTGATTGGTCGGTTCTCAAAAAGTTACTTTGAAAAGCACGTTTTTGCACACGGCTGCATGACAGCACCCGAGCTGAACAGGTGAGCGTCACATAGGGCCCAGAGATCCTGATATAGAGGGCAGGTACGCCAAAGAGTAAAATGTAGACATACTGGTATCGGTGGCCCACTTCAAGCACTGCCTATAATCAAAATAGACGACATTTATCTGTGAAACCGCTGGTGGATTACCTTCCAACAAAAATGGTCTTGTTACGTTGGCAAAGGTCCAGACGATCCAATCCAGTAAACTATTTAGTCCAAAACCCATTATTATATCAAAAAATACACACGGACTGCTGTTAGCATGTAAACAAAAAAAAGCAGCTACACGTTGACCTTTTAATTGACACTGCAATTGACCCAATAGAAACTTCCACGTAGTCATGAAGTGCCAGTCCCTTTCTTTCTTGTATACATCAAACCACCAATTGTGCTGAGGACTGATGCTTCACTCACAAATACTACGCAACAGACATAATTATATATTGTTGCATATAAAAACGCCCCACGCCGGAAAACTTTAAGCCCTGTGGCGTGCATGGAGCGGTGGAGGTGGGGAAGCCACTCACTCTTGTGGATGACCATCTGCTCCAGCTTCCTCTTGGCCGCAGCCCTCTCCAGGATCTTCTGGTCGATGGTGTTGGCTGTGACCAGGCGGTACACCACCACTGGTTTGGTTTGCCCGATGCGATGACAGCGGTCCTGAGCCTGCAAGTCTGCCTGGGGGTTCTGGGGCGGGGACACACAACACACGTACGGGGAATGTGTAGAACTGTAACGTTTGAAAAACAGGCTCATCGTCCATTATTATTAATCGGCACCTACCCAGTCGCTGTCGAAGATGATGACAGTATCAGCCGCTGTCAGGTTGATCCCAAGTCCTCCGGCTCTGGTGCTCAGCAGGAACAGGAACACCTCGGGATCTTGGGAAAACTTGGTCATCTGGGGGAGAAGAAGAACCGGATGATGCAGTAGCAGGGACAGGTCAAAGTTCTAACAAATTAGAAAAAGACACTGAGGGCAGCAGTTGCTTCCCTCAGTGTGTGGTCCCTCTCCTAATGAGCGGCGTGTCCTCATAGTAACCTGCTCACAATGCTTCTCAACACTTCGCACCTTCTTCATCAACTTGGTGTTTAAAACTCACATTTTCGTCTCTGTCAGAGTAGGACATGCTGCCGTCCAGCCGGCTGTACTGAAAGCCCCGCAGATAGCAGTAATCCATCAGAATATCCAGAATGGACGTCATCTGACTGAAGATCAGAACCTGGACCACATCAGCCAATCAGACAGAGGTCAGAAACAAGGCAAAGGCAACTAACAGCATGGGCAGAGGACAGAGTATATTAAAACTTAAAGATCACTTTATTTCTTTTTCATTCCACATCACTGTGTTTTGTGCTTCCCGTGGTATCAATAATTAGATATATGGTAAAGATTACAATATTATCTTTTCACTAGTAATCTTTTGAGAAATATTTTCATAGAAATTTATGTTTTGGAATCAAGGCCACTAAGTTAACATGTTTTCTGAGCAGAGAACTGTTTCCACCCAGAATATAAAAGCACAGCAGGTAACTGCACACCTAGCAGCAGTAAAATATAAGCAGTTTGGCCTGACTCAGCAGAGCCATTAGTGAGAGGATAGAAAGATCTATCTGGACTAGATAGATCTCTTTCACTAGTTTGAAAGATTTGATTAATCCTCCACTTTTTCTGATGCGCTGACATGTAGTTAGATCTCTGGTAACTGGTGTTGTGTTTCACCTTATGTCCCCTCTTCTTCAGGGCAGGCAGAAGTCTGTCCAGGATGAGAAACTTCCCAGAGCTCTGCACCAGCTGTTCATCAATCTGCAGGGGAGACAGCAGGACGTACATGGGGTGAAGAAGGGAACACAAATCGACTCCTGAAAAACATTCTGTTCATCTGCTCCATTCCACTTTATTTACCTTCATTAAGTTTGATTATATACACATATTATTCAGTTCCAGCTGAGAATGTAGCACAAACATTACTGTAGCAGAGTGCAGGTGACGGTGCATTACCTTGAACTCCTGTGTGGCAGGGTCGAGTGGGTACTCCACCAGGTAGGGGTGGTTACAGCATCTCTTTAGCAGCATGAGAATGTTCTGCAGCTTCAGGTTGATCTGGGAGTTCAGTGGACTCTGGACTTCCAGCACTGGACGGGGGCTGAGGGAAAGAAGACGAAGTTGGACTACACAGCCATGTTGTGCTTCTTATGCAACATGTCATTTGTGACATGCCTTCCAAAATAAATAAACCATATATAAGTGCTGGGGTTTTCCTGCATAGTGATTTACGAGGTGGCTGTCTGTCAGATTTGGTCCCACCTCCAGCTCTTGACAAAACTCTAACAGTGTCTTTATGGTAAACACTGTTTTCTAGCAGGCTAGACACTTGCTGTTTGTTAGCTATGTAGATCAACACATAAGCTTTGATGTTGTATTTGATTTAAAGCTGAACAGCACCTTTATTTTTATTTAATAAAATATACATTAACATTATGAGTGCCATAATGATGAATGATTAAAACTCTTAAAATTCAACAAAGTTGTAAGAAGTGTTTGCTCGAGTTAGGTGAAGGTCTCAAATAACTATTTATAAAAAGCATTGTTTAATGTTGTAACTATACAGTGCACTGATTTGCACGTACAGTTATTACAACACGCCTAAACTGTGGGCAAGTGAAGAGGACGTGATTTGATGGTGCGGATTACAAAATGGAGGAAGATAGAGGGATTAATAAGAGACAGGCCAGAGAAAGACACTAAGCCAACAGAAAACAGCAGCTCTGTACAGTGTGTCTGCTGTAAAACAGAACCAGCCAACCACAACAGCAACACTTTACGAATCCACGGAGCAGACCTCAAACAAGCAAACGTTAGCATTAAAGGTAAATCATGATTGCTAGTCGAGATGAAGGCTAGCAAAAGTAAGCCACAATTCTTAGCTGTAAATATATAAACGTGTTTGTAGTTGACTGGTTAGTCCGTGACTTTGTGTTGTAACGTTACAGTGATACGAGTTTCACAGCTGATCCTGATATCGGGGGCACCAAGGAAAAGGATTTCTTAACCAAATCCTTGATGAAATAAGCTGTAGAATACTCCATTACTGAGATAATCAATAGCGGCAGCTCTACACACACACACACACACACACACACACACACACACACACGCATTGCAAATCGATTCAATGATGTTTACCTGCAGCTGAGATGTGTGTAGGCAGTGCTCACCTCTGCTGGAGCTCCTCGCGGACCCTCTCCAGATATTTCTCCAGGTCTTTTGGCGAGTCTCCATCGGTTTCTTTGTAGTCCACCACATTTCGACTGCGACGCTTCGGCCTGCCACTCGACGTCAGCGCTACAGGAGCTTCCGTCTAAATAAACCAAGAGAACAGACAATGTCAATCATTCAGCTTTGACTGCACTTTTTCTGGCTGACCATTTAAAATGTTACATACAGAAAATGACCCATACTATTAATCCCTCATGTCAACCCAGAGACACTGAGGTAAGGTGACGTAACAGAGGACAAGCTGCACTGATAAGGCAGAGCACAGCCACTTATTGATAAACCAACACTTTAAGCACTACTCACTGCCAGATATGCTGGCAACAGGCTCAAAAGATTCACATCTGGTATTTAACAGAACTACCTTGGAGGGCCGTTGTCACGGTCACTGTGGGGACTCCACTGTGTGACTGATGAACCCACAGAGACCAATGTACAGTCCAGACCCTCTCACCATATGGCGTTACCTTTTCCTGGCCCAGCATCTTGCTGATGGTCTTGTTCACCACCGCGGTGTAAAAGGCCTCCTGTTTGGCTGTCAGAGGAGCGTAAACAATAATCTCCTTCTTAGGAGGAACCTCCAGCGTCACGTCTGACTTCAGCCGCCTCAGCAGGAACGGAGTCAGAATCTGAAACGAGGGAAAACCTTCAGAAAATGCCTGTTTGTTCTGGATTCACAGATACCCTAACCCTGAGGAGGCCAACCGAAGTGGGTTTTAGACACTATTTGATGATAAAAAAAAAAAAATTATATATGTGTGTGATCAGAGTGAAGCATGTTTCTGTGCTTGAAAATGGAGATGTTCTTTGCTCTTACGCTGCTCGTTCCACCTTAAACAACTGGATGCAGTTTATTGTTGTGCTCCGTGTTTAATTGCAGGAGATAAATATATATGAAACAGTGGGAACACTCCATTCCATCATTTTTATTGATAAGGGTCTTCTGTAGAAGCAGCCTCAGTATATCGCCCGTCTTCTCAGGTCAGGTAAATAGTGAACCTCAGACTGCCTTCCACCAATTTGCACCGTATGAACTAAATAAATTAGAGTGTTTAAAACTCTAATGTCTCCCACAGGCTGATTTTAAACATTGAACTTTCAATGTATTTAGTGATGTCTGTGACTGTCTCTGATGCCTGATGTTTGTTTTCCTTTCTCTCAGCTATACACAGGTCTCTCTTGCTAATCACAGTGTCAGTGTGATTAGCAAGAGCCGCCATATTAAACACACTTAATATATTCTAAAGGAAGTGTAACATTTTCATGTTTGCACTGTGTGGAGACAGTTTGGAGGACTGACCTGGTGCAACATGCTCAAGATGTTCTGCTCGCGCTCAGCAGCCACCACACTCTCCGCCTCACCGAGGGAGTCGATGTCAAACCACGACTCAAAGCTACACAGCAAACATCAACTAGAGGTTAAATTTGAGTAACAAGTTTAAGGTGAACAATTAGCAACATAAATCAACTATAAAAGTCGCGTTTAACTGCACGTACAGTAGGGGTGTGCATCTTGACAGGTCTCACGATTCGATTAGGATTAACCGGTCAACGATTCGATATCTCAATGCATCACCTCCAGGGGTGGGAATCTCTAGGCACCTCATTACGATTATGAGGCTACGATGTGACTGTAAACGAACAGGATAAAGATGTATTTTTCTCACTGTGTGACTAGTTGCTACTTTTAAAGCAAAGTATTTGTAACAATCCAAAGTACTAGGTAGTAATGAAATGCAGCTATTTAATGTTACTTCATATAAATGTAGCTAACGTTACATATCATTATTACATTATTACAGCGTTATTACTGACCTCTGATGCTGCTCTTTTCATTTCTGATGCTGTTGTTATTGGTATAGATTCAGATACAGGTTGAACTACACACTTTACAATGCTCCAGCCAAACCACCTTCACTCCGCCTAAATATATCTGTTCCTTTTCTTGTCTCGTCTAGTGTAGTTACATGTTTGTGTCTTGTCCTGTAAGTTGATTATTGTAATCTTGTGTTGAGCACCATGGGCCTTGAGAAACTGTATTTAGTTCATTTACTTGATATGTGGATATATGACAACAAATGGACTTGAACTAACAGCCAAAAAACTTCCTGCTCAGTTTCCAGACTGCAGTCTGAAGAGGAGATGTTAGCTAGCGCTAACCGCCTTTAATTTTCCAGCAGTTAGAAAACAGTAACGTTGCGCTCATATTTTTCTCTGCTCCTCTGCTTTCACCGTCACTTTCTGCTGCCTGTCACGTAGCTGTCCTTTGAAGAATGACGAGAGGATGCTAGCTAAAGGCCCATTTATACTCCTGCGTATTATCCATGCATTTATGCTTGTGCATAGGTGTGTCCGTCATTCTGCAATTACGCTACAGCATCCACTGCGTTGACTTTTGTCAGCCGAGCAGGCTAACTTCCAGTTTAGCGCTCCGCTAACGTAAATGGGGGTAAAATTGTAAACGTGCAGCTGGTGTAGCCTTTTCAAATGTTACCGAGCAAGTAGATCACATTCTGATAGCGAAACGAGTCATTTCGCTCGGGTTGTGACGATCAAATATATTGATTCACTGTGTTACAGCCGCTGCAGGGGTACTTCCAGCCGACCAATCACAGAGCTTATGGTCCGCGTCGACTTGACGTGTAGTTACATTTTTGAGGAGGTGCACGTCAGGCGACAGCGTAGCCTACGCCGTCGACTTGACGCTGAAGTGCTACCGTGCTGCACAGTGTGCGGGTGAAAATCATTAATGTTAGTTGCGTATTGATTTTATTGATCATGTGAAAGTTTAATAGCTGCAGTCATTCATTCAACAGCTGCCTTTCTGTGCCGAACAGGGAGAACACGTCTCTATTATGTGCACACCGCAGACAGTCCGAAGCTGCACTTCTGCATTTCCGAATGCCGCCTTTTTTGTTCCGTCAACATTACGATATCAATTAACTTCTAGATAATCAATTGATATTTGTGAAGTCCGCATCACAATGCATCTAAAAATCAATTAATTTCCACACCCCTAATGTACAGAAGGTATCTACACGAGCGGTATTATTACAATTGATTTAGACATGAAGCCAGATTGTGAGATGACTGTCTGGGGAATCATAGCACTACAGTATATGATACGTCACACTGTACCTCTTGAGGTCATCAAAGACCTCTGGCAAGAGGAAGTTGAGGAGGGACCAGAGCTCAGCCAGGTTGTTCTGCAGCGGCGTGCCCGTCAGCAGCAGCTTGTTGTCAGTGGGCAGCATCTTCAGCTCGCGCACCAGACGACAGTTGAGGTTTTTGATCCTGTGGCCTTCGTCTACAATCAGGTACTTCCAGTGGAAGCGCTGGAGCAGAAAACAGACACGCGAGAAGTAAAAAAATAAGTCTGCAACTGACGCTTATTTTCAATATAATAACGTATAATATACACTGAACAAAATTAGAAACGCAACACTTTTGTTTTTTCCCCCCCATTCATCATGAGCTGAACTCAAAGATCTAAGACTTTCTGTGTACACAAAAGGACTATTTCTCTCAAATATGTTCACAAATCTGTCACAATCTGTGCTAGTGAGCACTTCTCTAGAAACTGTCTATGAAGATTCTCAGTCATCCAGGTCATAGTTATCCAACGAAGGTTAAATGAAGGGCAACTGGACTTGGTTGAAGCTACTGGAAGACGTTTCGTCCCTCATCCAAAGGACTTCTTCAGTTCTGACTGACTGGCAGGGAAACTCAGCTATTTAACCTCAGTGGGGTCGTTATCTCGGGTCATCGATACCGCTGGTTCGTTAGTGTTCCTTGTTGCTGTGACGACAGTCGTTACAGTCGTTGAGACTACCTGTGGCCAAGACTGAACGACCATCGTTGGTATCTTCACCTGAGGCCAATAGGTTACGTTTGTTGAGTTTCCTGGGAAGTGATGAAAGGACAGCATTGTAAGTGGGGGATAAGTGGTGGCGTAGACCCCCTCCTCTGTTCAATGACGGCTTCTCAACCCTGGTGTAGATGCTTCCTTGACACCTCTTTCAAACCATCCATCTTCTCTGTCTAAAATGTGCACCTGGTGGTCCTCAAACGAGTGTCCTCTGTCCTTCAGATGTAAGTAGACTGCAGAGTCTTGACCTGAGGAGTTGGCCCTTCTGTGTTGAGCCATGCGTTTGTGTAGTGGTTGTTTAGTCTCCCCAATATACAGGTCTGTGCATTCCTCACTGCATTGGACCGCATACACTAGATTGCTTTTCTTGTGTTTGGGGGTGCGGTCTTTGGGGTGGACCAGCATCTGTCTTAGTGTGTTCTTGGGTTTAAAAAAAACCCCTCTAGAAACTATATTTAGTTGTATTTAAAATATAAATCTATTCTAATCATGTTCTGAATTTATTCCTTTTTGAAAATAATAATAAATACAATCTTCTTCCAGGGCAGCAGAGTGTGTTCTAATTCCAGGATGTTTGATGGGAGGGACTTCTTGAGGCAACAAGAAGTTAACAGGGGAAAGTGTACTGATAATGGCCGGAGTGCTCAAATCAGTACAAGTACAAATTGCAATACTATGTGGCAAACAGTTCTGTCCTTGTTAAACCTGCATATTTCAGTCATGTGTAAGTTGATGTCGTAAAGGACGAGCAGGGATCCTACCTGTAGGAACTTTCTGTCAATCATGGAGATCTCAAAAGAGGTGACGACCACAGGACACATGCTGAGGGGCCCCTGAGGCCTGTGGATCTGCTTCAGCAGCTTGGCCCTCTCTGGCTGGGTGCCGTGGTAAAGCAGCACAGACACCTGGGACAAAGACACAGCACTGCTCAGACCGCTGAGCTCCAGCAGACATTAACCCCATCAGTCCCAGCGGAGTGCCGGTGTCCCGCTCACTGTTCGAGTGAGGCTGTCAATCAATATAGCAACAACCCTGGTGCTTAGAAGCAAAGTGAGCTACTGTGCTTGATTGTAACCCCTTTGTGTGTTATTTTGTCGACCCACACAACATGTGGTTAATTATTTATTTGGTATGATGCTTCTGTAAATAAGTCAAATGTTTCCCATACATTGATTTATTTGTGGGAGCCCGCCACTTATTGGTTTTCGATTTTTTTTACTATTTAAAATGACTAAAATTGTATTTCACTGTAGAGCAGCACACAGTGCATAGATTCGCTCAGCCCGCTCAGCTCTCTCTCTCTCACAAACACATAAGTCGGTTTTACGCTGCCTTATTTTCCAGTATTATTGCGGCAATATGCCGACTCGCTGCGCTCTCTGTTGTTAACACAACGCTGTCGATGTCAGAGATCCACCGTCAAATAAGTTAATAGCAAGCATGTAAGGAGCTAGCTAATGTTAGAACACATCTGGGTTGTCCAGGTTACAGCTAGCGGATACTGAGGGGAGTTTTTAATAAATGTCGGTCACCACTATTTAAGCACTTTCTATGACATGAATGGATTTTTCATTGTGTGTTGCTTTTTGCCTGGATTATGTGTTTAACATTATAGTTCGTGTGTAAAAGTTTTTTTTCTAGGCAAACCTAAATTCTCCATGTGTGTATAATCTATCAGAAATCTGGACTAATAAAATCAATCTTCATTTTCATCCATATTCAGCCCTCCACGGGCCTGATAAGACCAGGGTCCTACCTCTGGTGTGAAGCGTTTGAATTCGTTGATCCAGTTGGGCAGAGTGGAGAGCGGGGCCACCACCAGGAAGGGGCCCTTCACCTTCTTTTCTATCATCATGGCGATGTGAGCAATGCACTGGATGGTCTTTCCCAGTCCCATCTCATCAGCCAGGATCCCATTGATGCCGTTCTCCCACAGCATCTGACAGCACAGAGGGAACACCAGCGGCAGGCTTAGCAACGTTCACCCTGAAGACCAGCATGCAGTCACTGGGCATGACGGCCTGACAGAAGCTCTATTATTCTTCACTTGAAAAACTTTAAACATATAAATATCTTTAGCACTCTGGTGGGGACAGTGGAAGAATTTAAAAACACTGTTATACAAACACGTGTCAGCAGCTTTAATTCAATAATTAACTAAGTCGAAAGCAGTCATGGATAGCATAAAAGTACCATAAAACCTCAATTAAAAGCCTAGTCCCAATTCGACTCCTGTACACTTTTACTGGTCTGGTGTGGCTACATGTTTTGACAAATAAATGCAGGTCTCAATTAAAAGCCTGGTCTGGTTTTTCTAGAAGTTCACTGGAGGTATAAAACCTCTTAAAGCCCCCGGGTCACCTGCTTGAGTTAAGCTGCTTAGATCGTTCATGCCAATATAAAGGTTTAAACTTCAGTATGTCAGTATGGACATGTGACATCAAATTCTCCACAGTTCAATTGTTTAGTTCATTTTACAGAAACAATGAGCACTTACAATTCATATTTACCAGCATGGTAAAGGAATTAAAGGCCTGTCCCAAATATAGGCAGGGTGAGTTCAGTGATTTGAACAAATAACAGCCCGGGATATTAATTGAAGTTTACGGTATTTAAAGGTACAGCAGCCAGAATGTGCCGGTCCAGGGAGCAAACTGATAAAACTGCTGCTTTCTTGGAAACAGGACCAGTGTTTCTAAAGTTTGACCCATACTAGAAAGTGTGCGCATCTCCGTTGCTTTGATTTGAACTATTTTTCTGTCCAGTTTTTTTGTGAGGTGAGACATGGACCATATCCGCAAAGATTGTGATAAATAAATAAATATACTTTTAATGAAATAAACCAAAAAGTCAAACTGCTATTTTATGCAGCAAAAGCCTACCAACTACACTGATCATGAGATGTGTCAGGTAGTGTTGTAGTACTCAAGACCGGTCTTAAGACCACTTTTTGATGGTCTTGATCTCGTCTCGGACTCAACCGCATTTGTACTCCGTCTTGTCTCCGACATTGAGGACTCAGGATTTTATTTCAAGAATTGCTTTTGTATTGTCTGATTTCTTTATTAACATCCTAACTGATTGGATGTAACACTTATTGCTTCAAATGCAGCCAAGAACACTAATTAAACATGTGTTGTTACCGTTAACAACTGCGTTTGTATGTGGGTGCTTTAATAGGAATGTGGATCTTTCAGATTCATTTGAGAAGTACCTATGATATTCCACATTTTATTGTGTTATGTGGGGAACTGGCCTCAGTCTCAGCCCCTAAAAGTCTTGGTCTTGTCTCAGTCTCAAACTCTGGTCTTGGTTTTGACTTGGTCTCGGTTTGGGGCGGTCTACAACATTAGTGTCAGGATCTGGGGGGCTTAAACCTTTACACTAACATGGACGTCCTTAAAATGCTCAGCAAGAATGTCATGTTATGTCCAGAATGAACTCTGAAATATTTTACTGACTACCTGGATTGTGTACTTTGCAAATGACAGGAAGGAATCCAACAAACACATCAATAATTAATCACTTCCCACAATCCCATGTTGGCAAAGCCCTACTGACCCTCAGCCACTCGATGCCTTCAATCTGGTACCACCTCATGACCCCTCCGGTTAAGAGCTGCGGCTGCTGGGCGGGGACCGGCTGGCCGTTCACCTTCCTGTGAGGGTCCAGGAGCTGCTTGGCGTTGTCTCGCACCATCTCCGACAGACGGTTCTTGATATCTTGGTTGGAATCGCTCATCTTCTCGATGTCCTCGGCTTCGAGTTTCTTCTGGGCCGGTGCCTCCTCCTGATATCAAATGTTTGATATGTACATGTATGAGTGGACTGCCTACTTTTAAAATCTATCCTGCTGTGTCCCAACACCTGCAATGTCTTAACATCTCATCAAAGTCTAAATAAAATGAACCATTACCTCCACTTGCTCCACTTTTGCTTTCTTGGCCTGCGACATGATTTCCTGTAAGACAAAAATCAAGCAGAACCGACGTGAACAGATCAGTAAAGGACAAGGATCTGCAAAACAGCCAAAACTTCTAATGAGACCTTACTTCTTTTGACATGACATCCGCTATTTTGTAGTCGTCATCCCTCCTCCTCTTCTTTTTATCTAGTTCAACAAGGAACAGTCAAAAACACATTTGAAACTTACGTAACCAGGGTTTAGCATAATCACATATCAGAATTCACTTATTAACAGATGTTATAAGTGATTTCAGAAGATCTACTCACCTTTCTCAGGCTCTGCACTGTTTGTGTTCTCCATCTAAAAGAGAAATATACTTCTATGAATAAGGTTCCATTTCAAAGCTAAGGTAAATGTTTTTCCCACTATAATAATAGATTTCCCCTCACCTTCTTGCCCTTCTTTTCCAGTTTCTCCTTCCTGAGGTTTTCCTGAAATTGTTGACAGAAAAGTGTTGTGTGTTAGCAGCCAGCAGGTCCACACACAGCGCAGGCAGTTACTGTTTCACACATGCTGTACCTCATTCTGTTGTTGCTCCATTTTAGTCAGCAGGAATTTAGAGTAGATGTTGCTCTTCTGCAGCAAGTGCTGCAATCTCTTGAACCGCATGTCATGAGAATCCCTCTCCCATGATTCCCGGGCCTCGTAAGATAAGATAAGATAGACTTTTATTGATCCCAGACAGTCACTTGTTACAGCAGCTCCAGACACAACAGATAAGAAAATACACAATAAATGAAAATAGAGCAGAAAAATACAAAATATAACAAATACAAAATAAGAGTAAGAGTTATATGTATACTATATACACCTTTATAGAGAGATGTGAGTGATATGGAACACTGCTCATGTCACAGCAGGAGCACGGTGTAGAAATAAATATGATTGCACAGGAGAAAATAGTTGTGTTGAGCGTTGCTAAATAATTATACATTAATGACCGACTGTGCTGGACAACATCTGGGCTGGAAAACATTTCTGATACAAGTGCCAATACCATGCGATTGTTTTGTACTTATACCAAATAAGGAATATTTTCTACTACAAAACCTTTTTTCCATTTAACAAAAGAAGCCAAAGTTGTCAAACGGTGTCTTTAACACAAGAATTTTGTGCTGCCAACAGTCTGAAATGTATTCGCAACTTCTTTTCCTTAAATCAGGAACTATTTAAATCAAAAAAGTCCATAATATTTTAACTTGATGCCAGCTTTGGGTACTTGAAAGTTTGAGACTTAGTGCTATTGGCGGTTCATTCCCCAGCCCTAGACAAGATCCAATTTTACAACAACTGTTCAGGACACATCCTGAGGAAATAATAAGCAACACACCTTTTCCATCATCTCCTTTTCCTTCCTCTCTCCTTCCTCCATCAGCTGCTTCTCTTCTTCCACCATTTCCTTAGTAATGACCCCTTCGGATGGTATATCCTCAGATTTCACTTTGACATCTTCAAACAAACAATAGTGACAGTCAAGCTGACGGCTGCATCGTCACACCCCCACATGTCTCTCCTTTATTTTTTCTCCAATACTGTAGAAAGTTTCATATCAATGTTGATTACATATGGAATGGCGCCCTGTTCCTGCTGTGATAAGCATCAGGTCCCTCATTAACTCAACCATAAATGACATGACAGTGACATTTCATTAATTAAAGGTGGATTAACTCAAGAAAATCCCTCAGTAAACTCCTCATAGGTTGGGGGGCCTTTGTGACTGACCTTTTGCAGCTCCAGTCTCCATGGCTGTGCCCAGCGGCTCCTCAGATTCGTCGGGTTTGGGGCAGTGAGGGGAGGCGCTTCGGGATTCCTCCTTCAAGCTGTCAGCATGAGAAGAACACAGAGGAGATGCAGAGGCTCAACTTTCCCTGCTGTTCTTACAGGAGGCAGGGCTAACTCCATTCACATGGTTCATAAGAAACTTTTACAACACACGGTGGGTCATTAATCTAACGTTACAGACACAATATAATATTTCAATAGGACAACGTGTACCTTTTCCCCACCAGACTTTTACTTTCTAGCAATGTGGAGGAGGCTTTCAGCATCTAAATTAAGAGATTTACGTTGCAGTTAAGTGAATAAAACAGAAAATCAAAATAAGGAGATTAACGTTAGCCCATCCGACACATCGTTACTGGCCCATTCTTTAACAGATAACTAACGTTCATGTTGCGATAAGGTGCACTGTTAAACGTTAACGTTACACCGACACATTAGAAAATTGAAAGCAAATTATTTAACTTAACTTACCAGCTCATTGTTGTCAACAGTGTAGCAGAGAATGGGACTAATATGGCCAACTCAACGTTTCTAGTTAACTAACGTTAACGTCAATGCAAAAGGTAACGTTATTTTTTGCTCAATAAAACAGCAACTTGTCGCGAGTTAACGTTAAGTTAACGTAACGTTACACAAGCAGGCATATAACTCTCTGAAGTAGCTGGCCAAACCACCTGGCTAGTGGTTATATAGATGCTGAGAATACAGGACCGACCGCAGATATTACAATAAATTCCAAAAATACTGTCTTATCTAAAACTGTGATGAAGAATACGGCTGGTTTGAACCCCACGTTAGTACCCTCCACTGAACACAGTGTAAGCTTACGGCAAGTAGCTGCAAGCAAGGAATGTGAGGCCGGCTGTTGCAATTCAAAATAAAACTACTTCCGCAAGCTTCACGCTCCACAGCAGGCATGAGAGGTTGCGATTAGCTTTTATTTAAAGTCAAAGTCGCTTTACTTCCGCCACTTTCTATATGAACAAGGCTAACTTGACGCAGCTGTAACTTTTATTGTGGGCGGGGCTATTCCATTTCGCGCCACTTAGGACGAAACCACTGTTTGTAAAATAGGGTGGCCTGCTATTAAAGTGTAAATATTACAATATTTTAGAATGTAAATGTGAATATCAGATTAAAGATAACAAATGGAAATCATTTTGAATTGAAATACATAATATTTACAGACTAAAGATCATTTCATTCTCACAGAAAATAATTTAACAACACAGCCACCCCTCTGAGTGGAAATAGGTGCCACTCCTAATCTGATATTTCCCGCGAATGTAGGGGGGAGGATCTATGTTTGGTTAAGGGGTTATTAAGGTCATCTTATTGCACTTGCAAACAATAACTCTTAAAATAAATGACAAACTACTTTTGGTTTGTATGCCTGTATGTTTATCTCATTGGCAGTTTGCAGGCTTAGCAGGATTTTTCAGCCTCTCAATTCATATTCTTTCTTTCTTTCTTCTTCATTCTTTGTGTTTGTGGCTGCAGTTTTTTATTGTATTACTGTTTCTTTAGTGAGGCTTACATATTTATAATTGATAATCAGTTGTGTGTCCATCTATAGATAAGGCCCCCCCTTGTTTTGTAATGCAGACCGACTCTACCTGCTAATGATGATGATGCATGATAATCAAAGTTTTGGAGTTCCATTGATCAGTCCAATGACCAAATGCATTTTTTATATTCACTCTTACATGGTCCTTCCTCAAGTCAAGTCCTCAGCCATTCCTCACTGTGAGCTGATGTGGTGTGGTGTGTGATGCTGTTGCACTTCCGGCTTGTTGCCAGCAGAGGCCCATAAAGATCACAGATGAAATCTTCACTGTGCTGTTGTGTAGGCAGTTCACACTTGGTGAACCGCACACTCCTCTCTTCCTTTCTTCCATTCTATTTCTCTTTCATTTTCTGCTTTCCTATTCTTTGTCCTCCTTTCTTCCCTTTCCCTCTCTTCTTCAAGTCTAGCCTTTCTTCCTTTTCCATAGTACCTTGTAATTATCTGCCTCTTGTTTGTTTTTGTGATTTCTTTTGTTATTTTGTGGTTCTCAGAGTGGGCTCTGGAGACCCCCAGGAGTCCTTGAAGGGGTTCCAGGAGATCCCCAGCAAAAAGGGAAATCATTTATTTTCACTATAATTCTATTCATAAGTAACACAATGACAGAATGTATGACTATTTTGGTCATTGGTTTCATAAACTTTATGTAATAAAACATCTAAATGTAAAACTCGTAACAAATTGGGGTCCGGGGTCTAATTTGTGTCAGTTTAGGGGTCCTTGATGTGAAACTGACTAACTAACTGTCAGAGGTTTCATTGAGCATTTCTGGCTGAACATGCATTTTTCTGGTAAGTCTGATCAGATGGCGGTCAGTGTTTCTCCTTGGTGACGAGTTCCATGCAACATCTAAGACGTCGTGCTTTTAGAGAAGTGCTGGTTCAGATGCTTCGTCACTCCTGACGTTACCTGGCACTCGTGACTCGAAGCTCTTCCTCAGTCAGCAGACTGGAACTTTGTGGGATTTCCTTTGAAATCTGCTGACTTGTGTTCAGTACAAAGAGGCCCACATTCTAGGAGTAAAGGATTAAGGTTAACTAGCTAATGAGTGGCTTGCATATGCACACACATTTATGGTCATTGTGTTGAGACCTAACCTTATGCAGCTGAACAATGGAGCACTGGTCTAACATTTTATCCATACAGCAAACACTGATCCCAGAGTTCCTTTCAAACTGAATTCAGTTGCCTTTATTATGAAAACAAGAACATTGTATTTTATATATGCAATTGTGTACTGATATTACACAGCAATTGGCAAACAGACCCTACTGGCAGCAGATATGCCAAATGTAGAATAAATTAATTCCAACAGGTTTTCTACACATCATATCAAGAATCGCAGACAGCTCCTCCCATTCCATACAGTCTGGTTGTACAATATTTATTTTCAGTTGTTACATTTTCCAAGTGTTACATGTTGGGCAACAAACTTCGCTGTCTTCAGCCATAAATTTAATGCAGAGATAAAGAGTCAAGACTATCCCAATAACGTATTGAACACAGAACTGGTGAGTCAGATATGAGATAATATATACATAATGTTTATGTACATATACTGTTGCACTAGACTTTAGATGCTGGACTGTGAGACACTGCTGTGCAGAGGTTGGTGAGAAAAATAAAAACCAATAGGGACAGACACATGCTGACACAAACAGCAAAATAATCAATGAAAGAAAAGAGAAACATACAAACAGGAACCTTAATGAAACTGATCCATTTACCAACCCCGCACTAGGAATGCAGAGAGACAGACACATTCTGTCACACACACACACACACACATACACACACTTCTCATAAACCTGCACACAGAGGGCCAAATAAAAGAGTAGTTTCTGAGAGGTCTGAGATAAGGGGCGTTTGGGGGGTCAGGGTCAAATGATCACCTATCTGTAGAATTTGTCATCAATAACAGGACAGTATGACAAGAAGGATGCTTTATTTGTTTTTGGTAGTGCGGCTATATTATGTACAGTACAAATACAGGCAACTTCATCTTGTTCTCACACAGACATGTTTAGAATCATGTCTTCCCTGTCCTGTCCGGTTGTGGTGGGGCTTTGATGGGACACAGTGGAGTTTGAGGGGAATGGCGTCCAGGCTGACAGGCCTGCAGAGAGAGAGGGGGGCCGTCAAAGTGGAAGTGGTTTCTCTCAGCAGCAGCCTCCTGACGAAGGCTTGACAGTAGTGCCGGGGGTAAGCTTCACATTGGGCTTATCCCCTCCCCCGGCTGTGGCACCGGGGCCCATCCTCTTCTTGATTTCAGCAGCCATGGTCATGAAGGCCTGCTCCACATTGGTAGCGTTCTTGGCGCTGGTTTCCAAGAATGGGATGCCCAGAGAGTCTGCAAACTCCTGGACACAATGGAGAAGGGACAGAGGACAGGAGTTTGTCTTAACTTCTTTATTTTTGCATCAGTGAACCACAAACTCTCATGAAATGGCAGAGAAATAAATAAGATACTAAACACTACATGACATAACAGGGGCAGCAGGGTGTGTGCAGATGAGAAGGAGCTGGTACACAAAAAAAGATGTGATGTCGGGTGTATGCAGGACAAAACAAAGCTAAAGGTAAACACTGCTGGATACCAGTGGAAGAGTTCAGTGCGATGTGTGTGGCGAGCGTGTTGGAGAGAGGAACAGAGAGGTGGTTTTTCTGCAGCCCAGGACCGGCAGGTGTGCCGGTCCTTGGAGCGCAGTCAGGTTAGCGGTAAACCGTGAATGTTCAATGAGCTACAGCTCGTCAGAAAATAAAATACAGCTTCTTGAGAACATGAGAAGCAGAGTTCAGAGTTGTGTTTACCAGCAGAGTGTGCTGATGTGACGGTTACAGCCCTGAAGCTAGCTACAACTTCACCCTGGAGCAGTAAAGAAGGCTCGCTTGTACTTCCTGACGACAGCCCGGAAGGTGAACTGTTTGTTACACAGGCGCTGTTGTAAATAATGAATCACTGATTTTGGGTCTGCTGCATCCTCACAGTGGAGCTGTACTAAAAGAGTTTAAATCCTTACGGCCCATAGAATAATCAACAGAAAGGAAATAAGCGCCCTTCTTCCACTGATTCTTGCTGGAGGACCCAATGACACTTGTTGTCGTGGATACCGACACAGCAGTGGGCTGAACGGAGATGATGTCACACAGCTTTGTCCTGTTGGCTGTAGGGCTGAAACAATTCATCGATTACTAAAATTAAATATTCTTTGCATCGATGCTTCGTTTAATCCATTTAACTTTACAGCACAGTGTTTCGCAGGGACATTTATTACTGTCGCACATAGCGTTTACGCTGTGAACATGGCGTGATTATGATGGAGCTGTTTGCAAAGTGGAGAAGAGAGAGAAAATATTGAGGGACAAAGAAGAAAGTGTCCAAAGTCTGGGATTATTTCAAGCTAAAGAAAACAACAACTCTGTAATGTCACAGTCCGTCCACCGTAAAACAAAACGTATGTCGCCTCGGCAACAGCACGACGGCAGCTGAACAAAAAGGTGTTCTGCCAGCGGACCACAGACAAGGTAACAGTAACAGCAACTTTAGCATTTAGCTGAAATCATGATTGACTGTTGAGTTGAAGCCAAAGTAAGCTGCAGTCCTCAGCTGAAAATGTGCACACGTGCGTTTGTTCTCCTGGTTGGGCCGTGAGTTTGGGTTGTAACCTCGCAGTCAGGAGTTAACTGGGTGTCGGGGAGCTGCACCTTGGTATAACTTGTATAGCACTCGGCTATGTTTGTGTTGGTAAAGCAGCTGTCTGGTTGTTGGTCTGATGTTTGCTGTATGACACACTATGAATTTCCGAAAGGACGAATAAATATCGACGTACACAGCTGACCATTACCGTGTGGGGAGGGGGTGTTACAAACTGCTGGAAAAATGAAGGGGGTTGTCACGTTGTAGATAACATGTACTGTAGATGCCTACAATAACGGCATACACTACAATGCATCAGCTCAATACAGCATCTGTAATACCGTGATACCACCCTACCGTGAAAGGCTCCCTCCAGACCCTCAGCTGGGACTGCTATTTGAGTTTCTAGTTTTAAGGGTAACCCATCGAAGGCCTCTTTCAATAATCTCCTACATGTCACAATTTTGCATAGACACTAACTCTCTGCATGTAAGGGAAGGATTCAGAACACAAAGAAGCATGAAAAGGTCTATATGCTAGAGCTTCTGTGAGTGGGAGTAAACCCCCAGGTGCCTTACCTTTGCTGTTGTGTAATCCACCACCTTCTTTGTCGTCAGGTCACACTTGTTCCCAACCAATAGCTTGTTGACATTTTCACTGGCATAGCGGTCGATCTCCTGTAGCCACTGTTTGACATTGTTGAAGGACTCCTGAGTCAGGAAACAGGTAAACATTAGCACTGAGCTAAATCTGCTACAGGAGATGGGCAACTTCCACAAAGCCAAATTTAAGACTTTTTAATGCAATATGCAGGTAATTGTAAGACCGGTGTGCACTGAAAAGAAAGAAAATCAGAAAACATAAGGAATGACATAAGGACTGCTTGTGGTAGAGCGCCCATGGAGTTTTGGTGCAGGGACCACACACACAATAAACTTTCTAAGCTACCATAAGGTTGCATGTATGGACCGTATTCATCAAACAGTGGGAGACACCATGGAGCAGAGTGTCAGGGTCTAGACACTTGGCTCCTTTACACCTGAATGCTATCAAATTGCTTTTGATGTTAATGTTTTTTTAGGTCTCGACAGATTATTTACAGTACATCATGTGGTATCAGTCAATATCCAACTGCTGAGAGTAAGTGGACGATTCTCGTGAAAACAAAGCCTGAGGCCCTCCCTAAGAGCAGATGTATTCCTGGCCAAATATAGACCTGACGTCAAGACGCCATATTTCTAGTGCAGATCTTGACAGCACACAATGTTTCAGCAGTCAAATAGCTGTTGTGTAAAACGTCCAATATGACCAGCATTTGAAATTCATACAGTGAGGACTCCATTGAGGAAGAAAGCCCGATTTCCCTCATCACAGATAAGCAATGATCTGAGTAAGGTGAACACCAGGCATCAGATTCTGCCGGGCCACTTTAGTAGACAGACAGTAGGAAGTTCCATCATTACTTAACAAATGAACAACAATCTGTATCAGTAAGTATAAATGAGTAAAACTATGAGATCTAATAGCTATGAAATTGTGTTGCATTATACTAACCTGGTCTGTGACATCATACACTACAATGATACCATGAGCACCTCTGTAGTAGCTGGATGTGATGGTACGAAACCTCTCCTGACCCGCTGTATCCCACTGTCAAAGGAAAAGGATGAACTCCGTTAGTGACTGGCTTTGTACTGACAGTGACAAAAACAAAAGCAACACACTTTAAACAGCTTTTAAAGGTCAGTACAAATTATGGCACTAACATGTTTCACCCAAAATAAACATCTTTAAATTGGACCATTCATTGGGCAACACTGCAACACAAATTCATGTATTTAGTGCTTGCAAATACAATTTCATTCATATTCTCCAGCTAAAGCCATGGTAACAACACCTTCATGCATTCACGGTTTATCTCATTTCTCCACATGCATGTTGCTGTTTATTTAAAAAAAGTAAAGCAGCAGGTTACTTACAATCTGAAGTTTAATGGTCTTTCCATCTAGTTCTATGGTTCGTATTTTGAAGTCCACACCAATAGTGCTAATGTAACTTTCTGTGTATGTGTCATCCTGCAGAGAGAAACAGTCAGAGTTAGAGGGCTCACACATCCTGTTCACTTCCTGCTTCACTAGCATGTTACACTAATGAATGAATGAGTTGCCGGCAAGTTAACTGCAAACAGGTTGTATTTTTCAACCTGGACTCTATTTTCTTATGTTTCTGGGTCTATGTGACTAATTAGGACAAGATTTTGAAACTGGTCCAGTATTGAGTGAGCGTGCTGGAGCTGCCAGCAGTGAAAGAGGTCTGCAATGTAATTCTAGAGGACAATCGCACCCTGTCAAAGTATGTCCAGTAAAGTGCTTGTTTTTGTCACTTACAGGCTCAGATTGTTATTACAAGTGTCTGGCAACATTATGGAAAGGATCCCAATAGAGAGACCTAAAGAGTAATATAATTTTTCTTTAAAAAGAAGCAGCCACCATTTGCTCTCGTCAAAGGCACAAGACTCTATTGTTTGAAAGAATCACTTTTTTACATTGCAGCCCTGTTTCGCTGCAGCCCACTGCAGTGCACTCGCTGGAGCAATTTCAAAATGTTTTGTCCACCTAAGTCACAGACACAAAAACATGGGAAAATAAAGTCCAGTTAGAAAAATACCAAGTTACCTTGAAGTATGCACATGTGAGGTTTATATCCTATCTATAATAACTTAGTTTCTTATTGCCTTAATAAGGAACACAGTTAAAATAGCTAAAATATATTGTTGTTCACGAGGACAGTTTTAAAGAGTCTGCATGAAATCACTACATAGTGAAACTTCAAAATATTGTCAGACTGAATCCTGCTGAAGGGGAAATGGAGTTCACATAAACATGCTGTATGTGCAATTTTGGTGAAACTTACTGCAAATCGGAGAAGAAGGCAAGACTTTCCAACACCAGAGTCACCAATCAGGAGCAGCTTGAATAAATAGTCACTGGGAGGAGAAAAGAAATTTATTGTTAACCAAGCGAGTTAGTAACAGATTACCCATTTCAATAAATCTCTGCTGCGGTAAGTCTAATACAAATCATCACACTGCTTCTTCATAGTATATTTATATCAAAAACATTCTAGCTCGGATGCAAATCTGCTCATCAGCATGAGCATAATCACATCATTGGGCAGAGGGGCTGAAAGGCCTGCATTTTACAAGGAAACATTCAGGACAATGAACCCTGCTGAGCTCAGGCACATCTTCAGAAGGGCGCGCAGGAAGTCGGCCAATCGCCTGACAGAACATATGAAGCCATCTGAAAGGAGCGGGGAAAACAGAAGAGAAGCCACATGCTGTACCTCTGCACTCTACTCCAGGTCTGTTTAGTTTGGTCTTATACATGTTTACTGAGCTGACATAACGGTTCAATAGCTCAAACTATTGAGTAGGAACTTCACCTGGATTTTCACCACAGGAATCTACTTCCAGTTTTGGCTTCTGGCCCACAGCCCCCTCCCTCAAAAGTCCCTGCTCCTCGAGTGGTACTTTCCAGTGACCCAGACAACAGTATGGAGGTGGAGTTAGCAGTACTGAAGACCAGACTTGTGTACAGCATGTACTAAGACACATGGTAAACACTATTTATTTATTAGCAAGTGCTAATAAAGCGCTTTGTGGATTTCTGTCATTTGTAACTGCAGTGCTGACGTGGTGACGCTGCCGTAATCAGCACAGTTCACCAGGAAAGATGCTGCAAACTTCCAGAGAAAAAGAAAAGAGCTGTATCGTTGGCTGGACCGCAGCCTGGGGGGGTTCAACTGTGTTTCCGCGGGAAACATCTTTGCCATACCGCAAAAATAATCACTAAGGAAGATAAATGTGCTTTTCCCTGCTGTTCCGGGTTTTAATATAGTTTCATTTCACCAGCGGGTGAATACCACTGCAAATGGCAGTCAGCGTTTGTGAACAGCTGATGTTATATTTGATTTTATGTCTTGCTGTTTGTTTCCTGTGGAAATCAACACATCAGCTTTAATGTTGTATTTGATGTGATGTTGAACAAACAGAACCTTTTTTATGAAATATGCTTTAATGTGATAACTGTCATTTTCTTCCATTATGTAATAATTAGAACTATAAAAATATGTGGCTTATAAAAGGTGTTAGTTTGAGCCAGTTGAAGGCACAGTACACGTGTGCACGTGATCAGGATGGGAACACCTCCGCCTCGTTCTGAGCCAGGAAACAGTCTGGATATGACTGACAAAATCTCAGTTTTCATTCTCAGAGAGTATTGTGGCATAGGGTAGGACATTCTACTATTACACCGAGACTATCCAGCCCAATGACACGTCTAAAATACACCCTGCACCACTTATAATTATATTGGCAATATAAATACTGGTAATAACCCAAAACTAGCAGTCAAAGTACGCTAACCAAAGTAGCAACTACATTCTCCCACATCAGCAGTGTGGCAGTCTGTGTATTATCCTGACTCCCCAGACCGTCTCAGTTCCTCTCCTTCTTGTTATAATACATGCCATTCATTCCCTCTTCATTACAACAATACCAAGCTGACCATAAACAATCTTGAGTCCAAATTAAGTAAAGAGTCAACTTTGTTACCTCAATGCAACATGTGACCCAAAACTCAGCGTGGTATTCAGCATACTGAATTATACTCTACACCATTATGTGGAGAAAGATAATCTTGGACGTTGCTTAAAAGTTTTTAGTCTATAACAAAGAAATGACTCATCAGTCATCAGTGATCGAGCAGTCAGCTGAGGGGGACGTTGATGAAACGTCACTACTTAAGAGTTATGACCAGATTAAAAACGACTATACATGTGTTTAGATTTGTAGTAGTGGAAAGCGTGGCAGGACAAGTTGTACAGTCCACTCATGTGAACATTTGTGAATGGAAAAACAAAGACAAAGACACAGAGGAAGCTTAAGTGCCTGATTGCTCAACGCTTCTGTGGTGAAATCGAAGGCTTGTCCTGTGGCATGTGACCTACACATGACTGAGAGGCTGTGGAGGGGCTGCTTCGACACTACTGGACTGACAACTGAGTCATGCTCAACACTAGGTATTGCCTAAAACCCATTACCTGAATGTAAACACTGTATGACTGCTGCTACAGTATCTGTTTGCCAAGGAAATAAATAACGTTAGCCTATCACAAAGACACACACAGTTAACCACCGGCAACAGGGTAAAAGATGTAACTGTTAAGTTAGTCTTTCCAAAGAAAATAATTTTGGCAGCCTCTTGTTGTCGCGTTAAATTCATTAAGGTTTTATTTATTTAATTACATAACGTTAATTCTAGCTGATGTCGCTGACAATGGCGTCTTTTAGCTAAAACAACTGTCGAGCACAAAGAGAGGAGGCTCGCGTTACATTTTAACATTATAGTAAGCTAACGTTAGCTATCAAAATTCAACAAGGCACCTTTGTCCTGTATTTAACAAGTGAACAGCTACATATCAGCGTGAAACGCACCGAACCGAAACCAGAGTCACTGGTAACGTTAACGTTAAAGCTAACTTAACGTTACTGCCACTGGCCCAACAGCTCGCTAACAATATTAATATGTTTATAAGGAACACTTTGTTGTTCGTTAAATATACCTGTGTTCACAGTAACGTTGTCTCAGGCTAATATGGGCACTGACTGGGCTAACGTTAATGTCAGCTGATGTTAGCCGCTAACTTAGCTCAAATGTCAGTATTTAGTTGTTTGCCAACGCTTCACTTCTTAGCACATAGCTAACCTTAGCTAGCTGGCCAAAATGTAACGCAACCTTCTCAAGTTATGATACTTACTATTCGGGATTCATTGTTCACTCGTTGTATAGTGTATCCCCCCTCGTGAAACGTCGTCTGTCACTGTCTGCAGATAAACAGCGCTGTTAAGGTATGAAAACGGGAGCGGTGGCTAGCTTACACTGCTCCCAAGACCACGGCCGGCTAACGTTAGTTGTTTCTCGGTAAAAATCCAAAATGGCTGCAACTCCAACAAGGAAACAGCTAACATTAGCCAGCTGGACAGGAACGGTAGGAATAACACAAAATAGGTGGCTTGGTTTTATGGATGCGTTGTCAGACTGTTAACTCGTTCTAAAGCCGCAAGTCTAAAGCGAATAAACAGGGAATATTGTAGCTGTCTGGCTAACCGTCCCCTTTCTCTCCCTCTAGCTGAGTGTGTGCTGTTACCGCAACAGCGAACTGTCAAGCCCTGGGAGGGATTACGTCATTTAGTGAAACGTGGCAAAGAGGAGTCAGCTAGTGCCCCAAGTCAATCCAACGTTACATACAATACACAACTTCCGAAAAAATACTTCAGCATAACCCTCAACCACGTGTTCTTTGTACAAATTGCGTGTGCTCAACGGCGAGGCTTTTATTTACAGACATTATTATTTCCGGTCACATCCCAGTTACACCTGACCAGCTTCACACATCAACCTCAGTGGGTTAGATTACCAGCCAGTTCCTATGTACACTATGAGTTTCTGTGGATTGCCTCCAAAATAGACACATCGATTGACCTATTATCCCTAACAGTATTAATTACTGTAAATGAAATACCACATTAGAAATGATCATTATATTGTAATAGGCCTACATCACAAATAAGTTTCACAGTCATCCTGAAACTTCTGTCCTGAGCTCATGTGCATGTCATGAGTGGTGTGCGTCATCACCATAGACTGTATGGTTAGGAAGTAGGTGCGAACAGAACAGTTCATGTCAGCACCTGTACACATGTAGGCTGAGTCATGAGTCAGACAGCTTATCTGCACTGGCAAACAACTTTCATGATCGAAGGGCAAACAAACTTTCTTATGGTAAAAATGTTGGTTCTTGGACCGTGACCACTGTGGCAGAGGAGAGGATAGATGTAGATATGTTGGGACAGTGTAGTAATACGCATAACAAATCATCCCTGCCTTGAGTTGAAGAGAGGAAAGTAGGAGAGGAGAAAAGAGAGCAGGAGAGGGAACACTGGAAGAGGAGGGGAGCGACCTTTGACCTGTAACGGTACAACTTTCTCAACTAAGTTAAATATACATTGATAAAATAAAAAAATAATGACTAAATACACACATATATTTTTACAAACCCCCATCCCAGTATTCCCCCCCTCTAGTCACAACATGAATCAAAGATCTCTCTTTTCACCGGCTTTGCTCTGTCCTCCTGATCTCAAATCTGCCAGTTTCATCAGACCAGCACTTATGAGGATTCTCTGCATGCTGACAGAGTTGGGCATCCTGCATGGACTAGGTTACAGAACAGAGGTTCCTCCCTTCATTACTGTACAGTTGAGAACAGTTTCTCCTGAAATGTAAAACAGTGATGGTGAACTCCGGACCACCCAGTTCCAGGAGAAACAGGTGTTTGTCATAGTCCAGGTTCTTCACTCTGTTTAAGGAGCAGAGGCTGTTCCAGTCCACAGCTGCTGTTTGTGGTTCGTAGGCAAAACGCTGTAATGTCACTGTGGAGGTCAATCAGCCCCTGTCCACCTTCTGTTACAGGTAAGAACAGGACAGCAGGTCTGGACCAGTGAAATCCCATCTCTTCTCTACATTATGTCAAAATCGGTTTCACTCGTCCCTTCCTTTTTGTCTTCCCCACTTCCTCTCTGGGTTTGAATAATCCAATCAGTAAGCCTCATTATCCCCTCTTTTTGTTACATGAATGCAGGATCCAACCTATCCCGCTCCATGACCTCTGCCTCTACCTTTCCACCTGTGACACTGACGGCCATGTCAACTTTAACTATACTTGACACCACTGACATCAAGACTCCATCTGGAAACATCAGCAGCTACTTTCCCTCATAAATGGCCATTAACCTAAAATTGAGTTTATGCCAATTGTCTTTGAAACTAGTCCGACCTGATTGACCTGTCAGGGTAGTAACCTCTCCACTTTCCTTTAAATATACACACAGACCGCACACAAAATGGCAAATACAGAGACAGGATTTTAAACAATCTGATTTATTCAATGATTGAATTTTACAATAAAGTGAAAAGTTAGAGCATTTTGGGGTTGTTAAGGCTTTTTAGAGGATATGTTCACCCAAATGACAACAAAACTGGAGTGGATTTATCAAGCCATGTTACATTTGTCCAATTTTGTCTCTAGGGGCCACAGTATACTTTAGGAAGGAAATAGAAGTTTTAAAACAAGTGACAAAAAGAGATTATCAACTAAATTCCATCCACCTCCATTGTACTGTGGTGGAGGCGGAGATCTCACAGAAAGATTTTTTCAGACTGGGGTGGCTGTGGCTCAGGAGAGAGAGCGGGTCCTCCACTAATCAGAAGGTCGGTGGTTTGATCCCCGGCCCCTCCTCTGTGTGAATGTTAGTTCCTTTGTGATGAGCAGTTGGCTCGGTCATCAGTGTATAACTGTGTGTGAATGGGGTAATTGTGCCATGAAGTGTAAAGCACTTTGAGTGTTTAGGAGACTACCACTAGAGAGAAAATGTCTTCTTTGTAATTTGGGTGAACTGAAGTATAACATACATGTATAACAAACAGCACTGACATCAGTAAGGACAGATGAAAATGTGTTTTAAGGCTGTGTGTTATGTTGGAAATGTGGATAGTGACCCCGTTCTGTACCATATAATCACTTTCTTTAACCAGCTGATAAGAAAACGTCTTTGATCCCTGTGAGAAACTCAGGTTGTGAAATCATGGCCATGTCCTACAGTACAGTACATGGTGTGTGACTCACTGTCCACCTCCCTTCAAGAGTGAACACAGGCCAGACTCTGAGCTGTTCATGTCCTCCAACACTAACTGAACTGTCATCACAGCAGTGTGTCATCACAGTAATTATTCACTTACCAAATTTTTTTTTTTAAATTTGTAAATGTTGTATTAATGAACTTCCATTAGAATGTCAATTATTAATTCCATGTTCTTATTCAGACTTTAAATTTGTCAACTTTCAACTACTGTTTTGTTATTCCCCTTGAGCCCACACACATCTAATCCTTCAGTTTATCAGGGAAATTCACATTCAAAATCACCACATTTGGAGATACATGGTTTTCACAGGATGTTCACTGGTATGAAAAACTGTAATCTGAAAAGTAACTAAAGCTGTCATACAAATGTCATTAGTAAAGAGTACAATATTCCCCTCTGAGAGGTAGGAGTAGAAAATGAAAGTTGCATAAAATGGAAGAATGGAATTAAGTAACGTATAAGAAGTCGATACTGGTCAATCAGAGCTCCTGCTGCTGCTCTGTGGACTCTTAAGTTCATGTCAGGTGCTTACACACATTTTAAAGGAATTTAGGCCCATTTTTAAATGAAAGCAAACTTAAAAAGCAAGGTGTGACTGTGAACCCAGCAGACCAACTGGACCAGCTGGAATATAGTTTCATTTAAAACCCTGTCTGTCTAAGATTCTCTTTGAGATTCCAATTGAAAAAAATAATAATTATTCATGTACCACCGCCAAACATTAAAAGTGATAGAGTGATCAGAGGACAGTACATTTGACTAGAAAAAACAGTGCAATATGAAAGGTTAATTGAATATGAGTGTAACAGATTGTATTAGGAGCACTTTGGGCTCAGTTTAGACACTGAACTGCTCCTGAACGTTTTCTTCATTAAACGTCTTCAAAATCTCTGGACATCATTCTCTCCATTACAAAAACATCATGTATTAGCATACATACCCATCTAATACACACGATGCTAACATGTTTAAAAAACATTGGTTGAGCTTTTTGTGAAACATTAACCTGAGCCTTGCATTAAAAACCAGAACTGTTGGAAGAAAGTAGAGAAAAAATTAATAAATAAGTGAAATAAGTCATGTGCTTGTACACAAGACACGTCCTGCAGTCTTTTCACAAAGCGGACCCCTGGTCCTCTTCTCTGTTCTGCTGGACTGGACTGGGCTGGGTCAGGCTGTCCATGGCAGACAGGATGGAGGAGAAAAGGTGTTCAGCGTGGGTCTCCAGAGCTCCGGACTGCCTCTCAATCAACAGCAGGGCATCTCGTAAAACTGGAAACGAGGAGACAGAATGTCAAAGGATTTAGAAGGGAAATGATGAGATGAATGTGGAAGATTACTTTTCAGTTTTTAATGTATGCATGTTACAAACTGACGTGGAGACGTGGTGTTGATGCAGCTGAGGAGAAGCTGTCCAGTGTGCAGAACACAGGAGGTCAGGGGCTGGTGGCTGCTCACTTCTCTCTGAAAACTCTGACAAGACGACGTCACATTGTACTGTCAGCAACAGAGTGTGCATGAAGTGGGTAACAGGCTTTTTGAAGATATAAAGTGGGGCTGTTTGTTGAGGAAACCTATAAAGTTTTTACTGAAAGTAATAGATTCTGTTGGGCCCCATTTGATCTCTGTTTTCAACAGCTCCCTATCTACTGGTTGTGTCCCTGATTATTTTAAAATGGCTTGCGTGAACTCACTTTTAAAGAAACCTGGTTTAGATCCCTCCCTCCCACATAATTTTAGACCAATTTCAAAACTGCCTTTTTATTGCAAAGATTCTAGAAAGAATTGTGTCCAAACAGCTGCTCACTGTACTGGAAAATAACAAATTATTTGAAAAGTTTCAATCTGGTTTTAGGAAGTACCACAGCACTGAGACTGCCCTGCTTAAAGTCACCAATGACCTTTTAATGTCTGCTGATGAAGGCATGTGCTCAGTCCTGGTACTCCTGGACCTTAGCGCTGCTTTTGACACCATTGATCACAACATCATGTTAGACAGACTGAGGCACTGGGTGGGGATCTCTGGTACGGCCCTAGGATGGTTTTCATCCTACCTGTCAAATAGGAAGTTTTGCGTGTCTGTAAACAACTATGTCTCCTCATTCTGTCCAGTTAAATATGGTGTGCCTCAGGGGTCGGACCCATTTTGTTTTCCTTGTATCTGCTTCCCCTTGGACATATTATCCATAAACATGGCATTTCTTTTCATATTTATGCTGATGACACACAAATATACTTGCCCGTCAGATCCACAGACCCTGGAATGCTGAGTTCACTTAACAACTGCCTTTGTGAAGTTGGAAAATGGATGTCAAATAATTTCCTCCAACTGACCTCAGACAAGACAGAAATCCTGGTCATCGGGTCTCAGCAGATGACAAATCAAATACTGCCATCTGCTGGTTCCCTAGTAAATCACATTAAGCCTGCGGCAAAGAACCTTGGTGTTTGGTTTGAAAATAATTTAAATTTCGAGCAGCACATCACAAAGCTTGTTAACCCAAAAATCTATTGATCGACTCCAGACTGTCCAGAACTCAGCTTCATTACACTGGCTCCCAGTATGTTTTAGAATTGACTTTAAAATTCTTTTAAAGCTCTTCATGGCCCCTAGCCTTGTTATATTTCTGAACTTTTAGTCCCATACACACCAGCAGATCCTCGGGCAGAGGTCTGCTATCTGTTCCAGAGTCTCGACTGAAAAAAAAAGGGGACAGAGCGTTTGCTGTCAGGGCCCCGAGGCTCTGGAACAGCCTGCCCGAGGAAATCAGGTCGGCTGAGTCAGTGAACTCTTTTAAGTCCCTTCTTAAAACATACTTTTATAGGAGAGCCTTTCCCGATCTTATTTGACTTTATTTTATCCCTTTTATTTTATCAATTTTATATTTATCTTAAACATGTATTTTAGTCTTTTCAGTGTTTTCATGCTTTCATTGTTTTTGTATTATTGTCTCTTGGGTATTATTGTCTTTACACTTGTTAAAGCACTTTGTAACTTGTTTTTGAAAAGTGCTCTACAAATAAAGATTATTATTATTTATCCATTTTGACAATCACTTAATAATGTAGCTTCTTTATCGAGCAACACAGAATTCTGCTGCGAGCCTACGTCCATACACGTGCGACTCAACGCGTTCATCTGTCACTGAATTTCACAAAACACCTGGGCCCGTATTTATCAAGCTTCTCAGAATTACTCATAAGAACTGACTTGAGTAAAAAAAATTCTTGGCTCAAAGCTCAGCTTAAAAGTTAGTTAGCAAGCATCTCCGTCAGTCAAACTGTGTTTGATTACCACACTTTGAAAACCTCACAGTAAATTATTAATATCTAACCTTTATTTATTATATCATATATTCTATGATATACTGTGTATATTTACCTTGTAATTAATGTGCTTGTTGTACTTTTACCCTGTAAAGCACCCCAGACAACCATGGTTGTTTCAGTGTGCTATATAAATAAAGTTGATATTGATCAACCAAAGTTAGGGTTAGCATGCAACGTGGGTTTGTTTGTCAATGTCAATTTTATTTCTATAGCACATTTAAAAACAGTTGACCAAAGTGCTGAACAGGGTCGATGTCAAATACATAAATAACAAGTATAAAAATTACTGCAACCAAAGTGAATTACAGGGAAACAAAACAACACCACTTTAAAACATCAGAAACCAGGTTTAATGAAGGTTAAAAGCTACTGCAAAAGGGTGCGTCTTAAGCAGCGATTTAAACGTTTGTAGGGTCTGTGCAGCTTTAATATGCATGGGGAGGCTGTTCCATAGGATGGGGACAGCCACTTCAAGGGCTCTATCGCCCTTATTTTTTAGCTTTGATCTCGGGACATCCAAAAGCAGCTGATTTGTTGACCTCAGTGTTCTGACTGGAGAATGGTGGCATAAGAGATCAGCCAGATAAGGTGGTGCCAGTCCATTTAGGCCAAGACAGGGTTTGGGTCAGTGCCATAATTGGGTCAGTGACAATGCTCTGGAGTTTTCAGCCTGTCTGAAGTCTCATATTTTGGAATGCTGAGGGAAACTTGATTGAAGCTAAATTGGCTAAATGCAGGATGTGGGGACAGAATGGGGGAAAGTGTCATAGTTACTAACAGCTTGTATGTCTTCACTGTTAATGCACATTTGATATGGTTTCTATAAGGCAGTGTAGTAGAACTAAAACCACGTGTGCATGTGCTGTCAGCATCCACTCCGGAGTATGACAGGGCCTCAAGGCTCAGCCCTCACCTGATAGTCTGCGAGAGACGACTTCACACTGTCTATGTCCACAGTGGGTGCAGCCAGCCGCTCCATCTTCTCTGACACTGTATACAGCTGCTGGATGAGCTGCTCCAGGTGTGAACAGAATACCTGGAACAAACACACTCAGCTACTTAATGCATCAAGAATCAAACCCTGCAGATTTTTGATTTCAAATACAGTCAACACCCAGTATGTCACTATAAAGGCAGAGGGGTCCATTGTCTCACACTGTCAGATGTAGGAGTGTTGCACTTTGACATACAGTCAGAATCTTTTATGGCAGGTCAGATCATGTCTCTACCTGGATGTGTTGCATCAAGGAGTCGCTTGGTTCCTGGTCCTCCTGGCTGCTCCTCTGCCTGCCAGGCAAGGTGAGGCCACCCAGCTGCTCCACCAAAGCCTCTACCTCCCTGAGACTGGACCAACTCAGTCCCCCTCCAATAGGCTCCACCCAGGCTCCAGGACTCCTGTGATCAGCTGCTCAAGGACAATAGTTGGATATTTGGAATATCTGAGAGATCAATTTTCAGTGCTGTAAGCACCACAAACTAAATTCCATTCACCACCATTGTGTTGGGGTATAGACAGATATCTCAGACAGACTTCTCTAAACCTGGACAAATAAAACCCAAAACTCTCTGCATGGGGGGGGGGGGGCAATATGTCATTTGGGTGAAATGACCCTTAAGAGCAAATTGGCCCAAAATATAAACATCCAGTCAGTGTGTATAGAAGAAATACCTGTCCGAGCAGCACTTCTCTCCGCTCTGCCCAGCTCATCTTTTCCTTCACATGTGTCTTGATTGTTGGCCTCCAGCTCTTTGACTTCAGCCTCGTGTTTCTCAGGCAGGTTGATGGAGGACAGGACCGAGTTGGTCCTTGGGCCCAGAGACTCCCAGCTGGCTGTGACAGGCCGGTTCAGCTGTGCCGTCACCTCCCTCACCTGCCCACAGGGACCAAATACTTTCAGTCTTTAGCTGAGGGAACAAAAACCACTGACATTACAGCTAAAAAACAGAGGCATGTTTGTGGCCATCCATGTTACTGTATACTGAGATCTGTGTTAATGTAACGCCAAGTGTATCGTTATGATACATGAGTTTTAGAGACCTCTGCATTCTCAGGTTGACAATTGTTTCCCCAAAAAACTGATGTATACAATCAGATACATGCAATGCACGGATAATCCTCCAGGGGGCTGCTATTCATCCACCATAGGTCCTTCAATTGAGACAGCCAAAATGGAAGTTGTCAATCGGTGACCTACAGGTGGTTTTGCAGGGAAACTTTTGCTAATTTTAAACGAGTTAAGGTGAGAAAAACATTCAAATTGTTTTGGATGCTTCAATATGAATATTTACTGGATTGAAGTATAGTTACTTAATATTTCATAACTTATTTTATAGTAAAATTGTGTTGAAAATGTGTGTATCAAATAGATACAGCAGGTATGTACGGTAATTTATGTATACATCTGTAACTCATAGTTTTATTGCATATCCATCATTATGCATTCCATTCAGCTACATACACCCTTTTAACTAATTAAAGGTTGAAGATAGATATAATTAGGTATATTTTGAGTAGAAATTGAGATTTTTAGCCTATATTGTATTTTCCTGCTCTATCGAGATGCTAAATGTAATTGGATGTTTCCAAGACTTACTTCATAATAATCGTTGAATTTAAATAAAAACTGACCAATTCAGAGGAGAAATACACAGTAATTTGTGTTTGGCTTGTAATTTTTAAGTGGCAAATAAGTACAGCATTGAAGATATCCTGATTATGGGTTGCAATTCAAGTGACATGGAGCAGTTAGGGGAAGATGATGATGCTGAAACATGTTGTGTTCTGCATGTTTTTTGTTGTTTTAAAAAAAAACATGATGTGGGCAAAACATTACAATAAATTCCAAATGTATCAAATATGATACAAAACAAAACTCATACCTTCAAAGAGCTATTCAAATTTTATTTTATTATTGGCATTAGGGGTAATAACTCCATTTCCAAAAAAAATTGAGTTTTCCTGGCAATTGTTTGATAGTTTACGGGGTATCATAAAGACAAAGCAGGACCGGACAGCTCTCCTTAAATTTTCTGTCCATTTAGTAAGAGCTCTGGGCGACTCCTCCCTTTCCCTGCAGCTTGTGACGATGTTAATGAGCATTTCCACATTAACATACCCCTACATTTAGAGATTTGTACATCAGTTGATCTAATATACAGCTTCATTTAAGCAGGGTTTGGAAGAGTACTAGAATTTTAAGTAATATTACTTGTGTAAATATCTACTTAGACAAAAATACAAAGTACGTCAGTTAAAATTTACTTTACTGGGATAAAGAAAATGTCACCAATGGTGGTTATATGACAACCTATTCAATTAAATAACATCACACCACTATGTCCAAACCAACAATATATTCCTTTTCTAAGACTGAGAATCAATTCTACAACAGCCTTCCTCAGTGTATTCTAACTAGAATTAACCAGGAAAGAGACAACACACAGACAATTAAACAAAACTGGCCAATACTAAATTTAAAATGTTGCGGTTTTCCAGACTTGTTTGGATCCCGATCATTGCTGCTTGCGGCTATATTGATAAGATTCTAATTATTAGAGAGAAAATTCACCAACTGGTATCAATTCAGACTTCTCTTCAAACTCAGGAACCTTTCCCACTGTAACCAGTCCACTCGGCCTCTGTCCCACTGTAACCAGTCCCTCTCTATGCTGCTGCACTCCACAACATTTTAGAGCTCAGTGAGTCACTGCAGTCACAACTGTGACAGATTATTCAAAAAAATAACAAAAATAAAAAATAAAGTAGAAAGACCTAATCCCATGAACATTTAGCTTGTTAGTCAGACCCAGCAGGCACCTGTTGTTCACTCATCATTGTGTATTTGGGTTTGGTCACTTGGCATGCTCCCGGGGTGGTGAAACCAGAGATTAATTAAAGTATGCCATCTTTTTGTAACCTCTGCAGAGGTCCAGTAATGCTATCCTTAACCATATCCCATAGTGACATAATTATTTTTTATCTTGCATTGTTGTACTGTTCAAACTGCTAAGCCCAGCCCGGTTGGGACTGCACCTCTCTCACCGGCAGACACTCGGCCAGTGAACGTTTACATTGAGAACATGTATGTTTTCAAGGGGGTCACTTCTCTGGACATGGAGCTCTCTGGAGCGCTGCCCTCCTCCGGCTGCAGCTGCGGCTTCTTCTCTGCTGCAGCTGCAGATTTCTTTAGATCTATTCTTACACCGTTTATCAGGACTCTCTCTGACTTTGTTTTTTTACACTGTAATGCATGTGACCTCAAATGTAGCAAAGTGCTCTACTTGAAAACACAAAACGTCTTAGCTAGAACACATAGGACTCAGCTGAAACAGTGAAACACGCTACTCTTAAAATTTGACCCTCAATGGTTTTGGAAATGAATAGTTAGATGTTTTATTCTATGTGGTGGTGGTGACCTCCACCTGTTCAGTCTCAAGGAGGTGGAGGCTTTGCAGGAGATGCTGTGTGGCATCACCTTGCCTGGCAGGGAGGAGCAGCAGCCAAGTGACTCCTTGATGATTACATTTATCCTCAACATGGCCTTATTTAAAATGCAAGAGCAATCCATAAATGTTATTGTTCTCAAACCTAATAGGACCACACCACACTACTTTAAAGGTCAGATTTTTTTTTTTAATCCTCACTTGGCCAGAGTGATCAAACTAAATACAATCTGCAGAGTGTGAATAAACTGCTATGACTGTACCTTACAGATTTAGGGACCATACTGTTGGTGTTGCATGTTTTAACCCATTTGTAATCACCCATGTGCCACGGCCTGAGCTAAGTCACTGCTGCATGTTGTTGTTGAAGATTCAAGTGCCAACAAACATATCATACTGTTGCTGTATTCCACAGATATACAGCATATGTGTGGCTTTACAGCAAATGTTTCAGGATCTTTTTCACAAAGTGCAACATCCATCTACTGCCCTCAATATTTTTTTTTACATTAGCACTCATCAGTGTGATGATTTTTGGAAGATGACTATTATAGGATGTTGAGGCGTCACTGAATGCACCATCTCATAACTGCAGTTTTACACAACAATGATGTAACTGAAGGCAATGCATTTCTCACAACAGCTAGAGCCAGGTGGATTTTCAGACCAAGGTGAAATGAATGCAATTTGAATACGTACTCTGTGGAAAATGATCAAAGTATGAGTGATTTGTAGTAACGGGTTTCAACACACCAGTGTGGTCCTTGAATAAAAAGACAACGTGTTCACAGCACTGACCTGTCTGGATAGCAGCTGCAGCTCCTCCAGCTGCTCTGGAAGAGGCCAGAACTCCTGGTCCACCTCCCCACATACACACCTGGACCGTGGAAGAACACTGGTTGAGTGGATAAAAGAAGCGGAGGTGGAGGAGGATAGTGCATGGTGCTGATGATGGTGACCTTCACACCGATTCGTTCCATCTCTGTTCTTGCTGCAGTCCAGACTGTTCAAGGACAAACCCACCGGGTCTGTTCGGGACATCAGGGCACTGGAGGACAGACCATCTGAGGTGAAGCCCTGCAGGTCAGGAGACATATGACTCACACTGAGTGTGCTTCTTTCTCTGGTTTGCCCTGAGCCACTCACAGTAAAGCCCAACCCCGACAGGCTGGTGGAGCTGCAAAGGTGGTCCAGTTCAATCCCTGAGTCCTGAAGGTTGGGGTCTGTTTGGAGGACAGAGTCTCCTTGGGGCTTGGAGGTGTCCCACTCACTGACCACCTGTCCTGGTCTCAGAGGGTAGGTGTAGTCCAGCAGGGCCTGGTACTCCTTATTTGGGTCCCATCCTGCAAAATGCCTGTCTGGAGATGGAGGCAGAGCTTTAGGGATGGCACAGGCCCAGTAGTTCGCCTGATAGGGAGACATCAGGTGTCCTTTTGAGTGTCTTCCAGATGAGCATAGTTTGGTCTCTTCCCCACCTCTCTCTGTCCCCCTCCCCAGCCTGAGCCGAGTATGGCCTGACCTGGAATACCCTGAGCGAGGGGTGTAGGTAGGATACAGGACAGTGGAGGTCAGTCGCGGCCTCAAAGGTGGATTTAATCTCTGGACCTCCAGGATGGAGCTTGAGAGGCTCCGCTGAGCTAATCTGCTGCCAGGGAAAGCACCTAAGGGTGAGCTGAGGTCTTCTCTAGAGACTGAGGGAGCTGAGATGTCACTGCGAGAGAAGGCCAGGCTCTCTGGGGTCATCTCTCCTCTTGCTCTGGTCAAGAAGTTCATGTCAGTGTGTTGCAGATTTTCTTCTCTTCTGCTAACACCCAAATGATTCTCCTACAAGGCAGGAAACGGACAGAATTAAAAACAGATACTGTAACATTGCTGTCTGTTAAAGGAAAGGCTTTGGGACATTCAGACACATACTGTAGGTTTCTGTTATGTACATGTACTGTAATGGCTCTATTCAAACGTGACAGGACCGTTGCAGAATCAGCCCACAAATCTCACATGACATTTAGTATCTGGTCCACAGAGGGAGTGCTGTCACTGCTGGAGCACAGCGCTGCGTGCAACAGTAACGATCTGAAGGAAGAGTTCTCACTTCTCTCACAGGCTGCATCACTGACAGTGGCTCCACAGTCCTGATGCAAAGCAGGAAAAATGTGGTGGTTGCCATTGGCTAATAACTTTCACTGGCGTTTGAAAAACTCCAAACGTGACAAGACGACTTTTGAATCAGTTTCTTTTCCCAACACTACCACCCCCCCCCCCCCCCCACACACACACACACTCATTCCATACAAGGGTTTTCTGTATTCCTGCTTTGGCAGCAGCCAGGTCAGAGCTTAAACCTACAATGACTGCTCTACTTGCTACATCCGCAGCAGAAGAGAAACACCCATAGGTGTCATTTACACTGGGGATCCTGGTGACATGTCCCAACCACTTTTTGAAAGCGTTTGTTAAAAATGTTCTGAAAAATAGCTTACAACAAGAAATGTTAAATAACAAATGCAAGTGCTATGAGAAAATGTTTTTGGCACAATAAGAAAACATGCAATGTAAATATAGAACAAAGAAATAAAACAGATCTGCATTGTTAAGCTAAAAGATTTATTTTTTATTGATTACTTCATTATATTCTATTTTTATATTCTGAATTTTCACCTGCCACCTGAATTTTGTATTCCCCTTTATATAAATAAAGACATTTCCACCATAAATTGGTGCAGAAAATGTCTCTAGAATGCAGGGAATTAAGTGTTTAATGCTCAAAATCTTCTGGAGGAGAGTATTTAGTCAATGAAAATTTCTTTTAAATTACATTTTAAAAATAAAATCTTCTATTCTTGTGACCCCAATATTGTGCATTGTTACGTCTCACGGACTACAGTGAGGAAAATAAGTATTTGAACACCCTGCTATTTTGCAAGTTCTCCCGCTTAGAAATCATGGAGGGGTCTGAAATTGTCATCGTAGGTGCATGTCCACTGTGAGAGACATAATCAAAAAAAAAAATCCAGAAATCACAATGTATGATTTTTAACTATTTATTTGTATGATACAGCTGCAAATACAAATAAGTATTTGAACACCTGTCTATCAGCTAGACAGCACGTCTGCCTTCAAAAATGTCCACCTCCACTCCATTTATTATCCTAAATTAGATGCACCTGTTTGAGGTCGTTAGCTGCATAAAGACACCTGTCCACCCCATACAATCAGTAAGAATCCAACTACTAACATGGCCGAGACCAAAGAGCTGTCCAAAGACACTAGAGACAAAATTGTACACCTCCACAAGGCTGGAAAGGGCTACGGGGAAATTGCCAAGCAGCTTGGTGAAAAAAGGTCCACTGTTGGAGCAATCATTAGAAAATGGAAGAAGCTAAACATGACTGTCAATCTCCCTCAGACTCGGGCTCCATGCAAGATCTCACCTCGTGGGGTCTCAATGATCCTAAGAAAGGTGAGAAATCAGCCCAGAACTACACGGGAGGAGCTGGTCAATGACCTGAAAAGAGCTGGGACCACCGTTTCCAAGGTTACTGTTGGTAATACACTAAGACGTCATGGTTTGAAATCACGCATGGCACGGAAGGTTCCCCTGCTTAAACCAGCACATGTCCAGGCCCGTCTTCAGTTTGCCAATGACCATTTGGATAATCCAGAGGAGTCATGGGAGAAAGTCATGTGGTCAGATGAGACCAAAATAGAACTTTTTGGTCATAATTCCACTAACCGTGTTTGGAGGAAGAAGAATGAGGAGTACCATCCCAAGAACACCATCCCTACTGTGAAGCATGGGGGTGGTAGCATCATGCTTTGGGGGTGTTTTTCTGCACATGGGACAGGGCGACTGCACTGTATTAAGGAGAGGATGACCGGGGCCATGTATTGCAAGATTTTGGGGAACAATCTCCTTCCCTCAGTTAGAGCATTGAAGATGGGTCGAGGCCGGGTCTTCCAACATGACAATGACCCGAAGCACACAGCCAGGATAACCAAGGAGTGGCTCTGTAAGAAGCATATCAAGGTTCTGGCGTGGCCTAGCCAGTCTCCAGACCTAAACCCAATAGAGAATCTTTGGAGGGAGCTCAAACTCCGTGTTTCTCAGCTACAGCCCAGAAACCTGACTGATCTAGAGAAGATCTGTGTGGAGGAGTGGGCCAAAATCCCTCCTGCAGTGCAAACCTGGTGAAAAACTACAGATTAGATTATGTCTCTCACAGTGGACATGCACCTACGATGACAATTTCAGACCCCTCCATGCTTTCTAAGTGGGAGAACTTGCAAAATAGCAGGGTGTTCAAATACTTATTTTCCTCACTGTATGTGTTTTGTCACAACTCTAATCTGAACCCTTAAATGTCCACATTACAGCCTTGAAAACACTGTGCTTGCTGTAATGTGTCCAGTGAGTTAGCAGCAAAAGTCGCTTGATAAACTTTGAGCAACTTCTTTTCTCATCGCCATGTGATGGCAGTGCATGGTTGTCAGGTTAGGAGGCTGTTCGGTTTGCTTTCCACGTGCTGTACCACAGTGACATGTCATTTATGGGAGAATTAGCTGGGTCATTGTCTGCTGGTAGATTTCAGCCTCTCTCTCAGACCTGATTGTGCAGTAATCATCATGTTTCCTCGGCAGGCTTGGCTATCAAAACAACAAATGACTACAAAGTCTGTGTGCATTTGAACGTGTGCAGCTGGAGTCTTTACATTATGATGGCACTCAGTTCAGGCCTGACCAGTGTTGGGAGTGTTGTGAAAATATTAGGTCCAACTTAGTCAGATTGTCACTGTGACTCTGGGTCTGGGATTTATACACGAGGTCGACATGTAAAATTACCATCACATCACATCTGAAATAGTCTGTAGTTAATAGAATTTAAAACATGCAATATCATTTCCTCTAAAATGATTCTACAGAATCAGTTGTGATACATTATACTCGAAGTAGTAATTTCCTCTCAGTCCTCCTTACCTCCTCTGTGTGCTTCTGTGGATCCGTCTTCTTTAAAATAGACGCATGTTGTTCTGAAGAGAACAGAGGCTTTCTCATTACATACTGTCTGTCTGTCAGATACCTGGAGGTGGGCGCCATAGTCACACTTTTGTGTGGTCCTCCTCCGTCTTTTTCTCTCTCTGTCTTGCCTCTTTCAGTGTCATTTGTGGCCAGACTCTGGCATCTGCTGCTGTGTTTAAACTCTGGGAGATGCATCCTCCATCGCTGGCTGCATCCATTGGCTTCCATTAGACAAAGGCGATGTAGGAAGGTCTGGTCAACTAAAGGAACATAACAGTTTAGAAACATTCAGTGTTATTAATGTATTTTTTTTTAAGTCATTGAAAATGTTTTATTAATTGAATTTTTTGGTTTCATCCATGCACCTTGAAAGAGCTGCAGGGTTGTGGCAGAGTTCTTTGTCCAGCATCTTCTCAGCAACAAACATCATGTTGAAGCACAGTTGAGCACTGTAATGACAAAGGAAAGAAGTACATAAAGACAGAGTAACACATTCACAGATGACTTGAGAAGTAAAAGAAGCTAACATTTCTGACCTAAAGCACCTTTTCATGAGAACTGTCTAATTTCTCTAAAAACAAGACTTGAATGATGCTGTAATTAAGAGATTTTACACAAGCACATTTAAGCGTGTTCATTCATTTTTTGGCCACCAGCTGGCAGCAGAATAAGTTCAATACACATCATCTGACATATCATCACCATATAAAATTGTTATGGGAAACAGTTGCCTATTTTCACATCAGAATAAAGTTCTTCACAAGTCTTAAACTGAGACCTATATCCAACCCGTGTGTCTCTAAGACCCGACCTGCTTGACCCCTATGGTCATATTTGAGACCCAAACCCAACCAAGAGACCCAAAGCGGTTAGTGCTGAAACAGTCAGTTGATCAGCAGCAAATTCAATGCCCATAATTCTGATAAACAAAAAAATCAAAAGAGGAATTTCTTTATGAATTGACCCTTCGCCAAGCCCCGCCCCCTTTAGTTACTGTTGCATTATACATTTGAAGGTTGTATTCAGGCTCTCAGACTGACTGAAACTGACTCAAACGGACGTGAAAAAAAAATGAAAGATAGAAGCTAAAGCCTACCAATCACACAGTACAAGTGAACCACCACATGACACCCCGACGATTGAGACAAAAGACAACGATATCAAGGATCAACACTGTTCCTGTAAAGCTGGTTAGGCCCCTATTCATCATTACAAAGCAGAACAGTAGGGCTTTATTACATTACATTCCGTAGGAAGCTAGTTAGCGTTAGCTAACATTACATTAGGAATAATCCATAGCCGACATTTTCTGGATTTATTTTAGGTTTTGGAAAGACAATACATTGTACTTTTGAACTCTCTGGGTTGTGACGGTAATTATTACAAGTGCCCTAGGAACAGCGTTTGACCATATCTTGGAAAAATCCAGCCAAAAAATAAAAAGCTAGAAAACAACTCTTTTTGCATTAGAGTCAATGGAGCGCAGCCATGAAAGTGTCGGACCTCAGAGCAAGTCCTATACTGCGCTGTGATTGGCCAGCTGTGTATTCAGGGCGTGGCTTAGCAAATTGCATTTTAAAATAACCAAAGCCAGAACCCATTCCAAGCCAGAAACCACATGCAAACCCTGATATTTTGACCTCTATAGCAGAAAGGCCTGAACAATTCATCGAAACGGCATACTGCAGTTTTCAAATCAGCGAAATATTTTTTAATGTGTCAAAATACCATCTTAAATTAAATATTGTCGTGTTGCAGATAAACACACATATCTAAGTGGCACATACACATTTTCCTTAGTGAGTAGAATGTTTCTACCTATTGTTGTGGGATCACTAAGCAGCAGGCCTGATAAGCATCCACTTGGTGTAATGATATGCTCGCTCCTCACCTGACTGATCTCATTAAGACTGCATGCTCAGACCTGCTTGTGCTCACCGGGTCAACGAGGAAGAATACTCTCTGTCCAGGGGCTCTCCTGATATGGCAGTGTGGTCAGAGCTCTGGGCACATGTCGAGAACTCGGAGACCATTGTTCATGCTATCAATGTTTTTTAGCCAAGGTTCTGGCTCAGCTAAATTTTGTACTAAGAAATATGAACAAGAGACACAACAATGACTGTCCAAAGTGCAAACATGGAACTCAAACTGTGAGAAATATAAGTCCTGATCATCTGAGGGTAGGGCTGAACGATTTTGAAAAAAAACTTTCCAAAAAAGATTATTTTGACTGATATTGCGATATGCCAATATACAAGCCGACAGGTGTGATAGAATCCTTTTATTCTGTTAACTCGCTGCATTTTCTTTTGTTTGTGGCCCCACCGCTGTGGCCATCAAACAACATTTGCTTTCTAACTTTCACCTCACAAGCAGGTCCGTTTTCATCTTCCTCTCATTTGTTGTTGCTGTGATTCACTATAAACAGGCTTTTACATCCATCAATGTTCACGTGGCCCTGATCATTTCAATGTTGGAGCTTAGGAGTTAAAATCTGGATGATTACGTCATTCCGAGTGGGACCTCAGTAGCCAATGAGACAGACAAGTTTAACGTTAGTCCCACAGCTGCCGACCGTTGCCCAGCAATGGTAAACATTCTAGCACTTGAGGCTAACAATAGCTAGCATACCACTGTTGATTAAGAGTGAAATCTCCTGTAGTCTGAGCCCAGCTTTAAGATGATTGCTTGAATATAATAAAGCAGTCTGCAGTGTGCTTTGTTCTCTTGGTGGTATCACTGAGCTTTAAATATGTATTAGCGTCACCTGAGCCCATTTCTAAAAAAGGTACAAACTGTGATGCAACCACGGTAACAGGAACACAGGATATAGGACCCAAATGCAGACGCTTGAGGCAGAGCTGATGCAGTTCAGTGATGCAATAACAAGGGTTTGTGGGATGGTGTGGCAGGCAATAGTCCAAATCAGAGACGGCAGCCCAAACAGACAAATAAAGGGGCAAGCAAGCAGTTCTCAGGTACACTGGATCTACAGGAAACAATTTAACTTAAACTGGCCAGTGGGAATGGTCCAGTTAGGTATCTGCAGGGCTGATGAGGGGAAAGTGGAAACAGATGACAGACTAGACGGAGTAGGCCAGGTAACTGTAGAGCAGAAGAGGGAAGAGAGAACAGGTGTGTTGTTGGGTGTGGCAGTCAGGAGGGAAAGTCCAAGGGCATCTGGTGGATTAGTGAAGAGTATGGCAGCAAATCACAAGATAGCCATGCCCTAAAGCTTACGCTGCTTTATGGTCTATTTTCCTCTAAATGGGACCATAATTTACTAAATGATCATGCTGTGTTGAAGAAGACAGGAAACTAGCGACTGAGACCTTAAACTCAAATGAAGTGAGAAGTAGGCTCATTTTGTGATAGACTCCAATGCACTCAGACTTGCCAGTGGAGTCGCCCCCTGCTGGCCGCTAGACAGAATGCGGGTTTAAGGCACTTCCGCATGGGCTTCACTTTTCAGACCCGCAGGTTCCTGCTTGGTGGACATGCAAATGGAGAGGAAGTGGGTAGACAGAGGGTGTAGGGGATTTCGGGGGTGGTCTCAGAAAGGCCCCGTGTGTGTGTGTGTGTGTGTGTGTTTGAGGAGGTGGGAATGTGGCTGGAGGGAAGGACAGAGAGGCAGATTGTGACACACACATTCTGTAACAATAGTGTCTCAGTAATGACAGGATCACCACGTGTTTTCCTGTCTCGTTGGCCTACTCTCAGGATCTGGGATGGTGGGTGAACCTCTCACACTTATCCTCTATTGTGACCACAGTGAATGTATGCCTGGTTTCCATGGTGATGGCCTAGAGAAGATGGTGCTAGAGTCACGAGAAAAATGTCAAAGGCTGGAACGCTCTCTAACTGCTAGGATGAATATGATCCACTGCAAAACCATTCACTCTTTCACACCGGCCCTGGATCTCTGATCATGTTAAGCAGTCGACACCCACGTGCGACGTGCACAGCCACAGTAATGGCTGCAGGATACGTGATGTCAGCAGCATCAGTGTTAAAGATGCTAAGCTCTTATAGGTGGGGTATGCAATTCAGGAGAAATCCAACACCATGACATAGAGCGAACAATACCGGAGTGAGTACTGTAACTAACATTAGCTAAGTTGTGGGTTAGCATACTGTCACAACAGTTGCTGGACGAGACGGTCCCAGAGCCAATACTCACAACTCTCCTGTTGCTATAGCTCACATCACAAGCTGAATGTCCGTGGACAAGTCACTTAAATTTACCTGACACACACATCATGGCTGGAAAGGCTGGTATAGCAATGGGTACATGCAACTCCAGAAAAAAAAAAAAAAAACAACAACACAGTACCAGCGTATGTTCCACTTTAGCAACCACAATTCACTTACTGTTTGAAAACAGACTGCAGAAACAGCAGCATAAGTCAGATTTTCTACAGTATGTAAATACTGTAGATATTTTACAGTATGTATTTGGAAACGGTTCTTTTCCTTAGAAGTTGATCACCTTTAGCTAACCTGAGTAATAGCCTATGGTAATAGCTTTGATATTGTCGCAACAGCACATCATTTTGTGACAAGAAAATAACAGCAAACATGTGCCCACACCTGAAAAACAGACGCGATGATGCCTCAAATGTGGAATGTACACAGAAGCAGGCCTAGTGGTCGACCGATATGGGTTTTTCAATTGTCACTGCCGATATTTAGAGAGAAAAGTCATGTATAATTCCATTATTCCATGCAGAGTACAATTATCTCAGCCAGTAACGTGTTGTTTTAGATGGAATTTTCATTAATGAATAAAATAGAAACAACATTGGGTTCTGCTGAAGATTTCAGAACGTGACTGGTGTTTAGGGGGGGGGGGGGGGGTACAGTTTGTCAGAAGTGACGTCAGCTGCATTTTCCTCTACACTATAAAAATACAACACTAGCCAGTAATGGTGGAAGATTAGAGCCGCTGTCATTTAGGATAGGAAAAACTTGTTAATTTAGAAAAGAGGATGATGGCTGAGGACATTTAGGGCTCCTAACTATTTTACCACCTTCCCAAAACTCACAAGGTGGAGCAATAACATTGTTCGACCAATATGTTTGTACACTGTGTACAATATGTACACTGTTTGTTTATTGGCCTCCTGAGTGCAGGCATCGGCTGATGCTGATTATCTCAAAATGCCAGATATTGGCCCAGTTGTTCTATCACTACACAGAAGCACACTGAAAGGTTCATCTCATTGCTTTCCCCCTGGACTGTTGTATGCATTCAGTCAGCTGTTGTGCTTATTCATTCATGGTTCCCTAATGTTGATCATTAACACAGAGCTGATGACAGCTGAGTGAACCTCATGCTTTAGCCTTTGCTCATTTGTTCAAACTTAAATAGAATGTCAAAGACAGGAAACAATGGCCAGTGTGGGACTGGAGGAAACCATGGCAACAAGCAGTGGCACCAAGCATTAAATGAGCGATAACGTTACAAAGCGAGGGGCCACTGTGGTCCCCCGTGCTGGCGATGTAAGTGTTCTAAGGTCTATTTATCCTAGGGTTCTGGCCTTCTTTAATCCAGTCTAGGTTCCGGTCAGTAGCTTACGCGTCAAAAGCTCGCCAAAATGTAAGCGGCAGAACCAAACGTGAAGCCGCGGGCTGCAGAAAGCGCCAAGGTATCGCTGGCTTTGTGACTTCAATAATATGATGACTGTGCTACACACAAACTCCTTTCAAAAACCCTGCTATTGAACGTGTCTTCGCTTCTCGACAACCGTGCATGCCCAATGAAGCCAACTTCAGTCCTCTCACAATTCTTTGGAAGCGTATCGCAAATTCGGCATCATTATGACCCACCAAGCTTCCTTTTCAGAAATAGAAAGTATTTCCCACCGCCCATTAACGTTGCTGTGTATTTGGTGGGCGGAAGTCAGACCAATTGTCACTTACCGCAAATTTATCAAAGAAGCCTGAGTACAAAACTCCTCAAGCAGCTGTTAGCGTCAGCGTCAGAACAATACAAGTTCCATACGTACCACATTTGGCTCCGTGTGTCAGGGAGCGGCCAGCAGAACCTAACGTTCACGTTAACGTTCACGTTAGCCCTCTTCACAGCGGCTTTGTTGCTGCAGCCTCCTTCCTCTAACCGCGCTGCCTTCACGTGCCTCTCCTCAAATTCTGTCCTGTATGAAGTCTGTTAGTAGTTTTTATATACAGTCTGTGGTTAGTACAAGTGTTATTCTAACATCGGTAATAAGGGCAGGAGCGGTCTGTCGGTTACAAGGAATAACTGCTCGCCTTTAAAAAAAACACACAACACAAGAGACACAGTTATTTGTAGCATGTATGTAACGTGTATAACCCGCGTGGGATATAACTGGGTTTTAAGGATAGACAAGCAATAATTCACATAGGAGCCTAACAATAACAGAAAAAAACGTACGCCTTTTATATTACTTATATTACTTTGTGGGGTGAAAAAATGTCATGATTACAACACGGCTGACGGCATTGAAGGCAGCACAACATACTGTACAGCTGTGTTTAATTTGAAACGGGAAGACTGTAATCAAAATGAGGCAGTAGACAACTTCTGTCTGTGATAAGGCTTCTAGTTAGGGCTAATTTCTTAACAACGTTATAATTATTTATTATCTTGTTGTTTTATCATTATGTATTTTATTGTACAAATTATATTTTATCTTATGTATCTGATCATGTGTATTTTATACCTAACGTTGCCATTATCACATTATGGTCAAATGTTAAGTGCATTTGTTAATTAAATGTAATTATTAGTGTGAAAATAGATTAAAGTCATCTGTAAAAACCCTGATGCTGTTTTTTGTTATTATAAATAATTGGTTCTAAGGTATTGTTTTATTTGATTAATGAACGTGGTTGCCCCGTATAGTCTGATGTTTGGAGGAATAAAAATCAGACTATACGGATTCATATAGTTGTAATGCATGCTTAAAATTAATCGATCAACACACAGGACTTGTACATAGAACCATCTTTCCTTTTATTGATCTCAACATTCATACTTGTGGACAGAATACAGTGAGCATACAGGACCAGCACTCAGAACCACGTCTCACCCTAGCCTGAAACAAAACACCTAAACATGTCTTGGAGCCTCGTGTATTTAAGTGATTTCTGATGACATTTTGTTTTTGGAGCATGACCCCTTGAACAAAATTCAGGATACACGAGTCCATTCGTCCAAAATGTATAAATAATTATCTTTGTTCCCTGTAAGTATTCATTCAATACATTCAGAAACAGAGCTCACCTTCTGATCAGAAACTCAGATTTGGAGTGCACCGCAAACACAATCAATGGTTTTCAAAGTGCAGCTGACTATACATCTCCATAATACAGGTGTGATGTATCAGATTTATGGGTAATGAACTAGAAGTCCACACAGCGGCCCTTTCTCTCCCAGTCTCCGTAGCGGGTGGGCTCTGGCCCCCGAGGACCCCCCTTCTCCTTGGTTACAGGGTTCACATCATCAGGGAACTCTGGAGGATAACAAGAGAGAGGTTCAGTTTAGAACATTATTTCCTTCCACTGCTGCTTCACTTTCTTGAAAATACAGTTTACAGTGTACTCAGTGTCCAGTTTATTAGGCGCACCTAGCTAAAAGTCACGCAGTCAGCACTGCCCCACGAAGGTTAGAAAGTCCACCTTTTGTTGGAGCTTTGACATATTTCCTAACTCAAGGGCACTTACTAGCTTTTTCCAGAGCTTTCAACCACACGTCATGGTGTCCCTTGGCTGATGGGAGTTCTAACTTCAGAAGCCCAATACTATTACCTAATGACAACTGAGCAAACGCCACACTGTGGGATGCGCTTGAACGTTCTGGAATATGCTAGTAAGTTGTTCTTGAGTTAAGAAGTAAGAGATCAAGGATAAACTTTCACACTCAACTTTGAGAGGTGCTGATTTAACTTAACGGTCATTTTGCAGGCATTCTGGAGTTTGTACTGTGCATATGTTTTATCTTATACTGTGTGCACTGTATGACTCTGGGGTGGTACAGCCTCTGAAACTGTTGTTATTGTGGGTTTTAACATGGACCACCGACTAATCGTTATTTCCAAACCGGTTGCCCTGTATACCTGTGTGTGTGTGTGTGCGCTTCACAAAGGACTGTTGCTGTTCGTTTGTTTCAGGTGTACCTAATAAACGGAACACAGTGTATTTACTGTAAATTAAAATAAAAGATCAGTTCATGTTTGTCTGTTGGACAATGTGAACTGTAAGTGTTTCTAATGAGATTGGATTCTTCAGAAACTTATGTCAGCAAACACACATGGGACTAAATTCTTATTACAGGTGCAGAATTTCAGGGCCAATAACAAATAACAGATCTTTTTGTTGTGACGGATTCCCATAGACCAATGACATTATTGCGGTTAAAAAATGTTAAAGAGGATTACAAAGGCGAAATTTTTAGATTGACACGTTTCGTTCCACTGTTATTATCACAGGAAAGGAATACATAATAAATTACAGAGTAAACTGCCTGAGTCATGTTATGCTTGTGTTAGATGTGTTCATTCATAGTAAAAGACCTGCAGCTATTGCGCAACTATCTCAATTATTAGAAGAATAAAATTAAGTGTATTCATTTAATGAAGTCATATGCTGAGCCATTGGGCGGTGTAAATAAAGCTGACAAAGTCTATCGGCCATAGATATTCTGTGAATGCCTAACAGCAGAGGTTTTATTGTACTGCTGACACGCTGACTACACAGATGATTAGTCTCCCGCTTTGCAATGTGCTCCGTTTGATCCAGTCAGCTTTTGCTTTTCATCTCCCTTCGCCGGATCGCAGCCCTGGTCAGAGGAAAAGTCGCCTGCGCCATTCTCACTTTCCAGAACATCTTTGCTCTTCTCCTCGGGGCTGTCAAACAGACCCTGCGGGGTCTTGGCTTTCTTCAGCGGCTCCTTGTCCTTCGCCGCTCCGCTGGCAGCCCGTGAACACCCTGAACGAGACCACCAGGGAGTTCAGAACAAACACAGAGCAGGACACAAGTCACTCAGAACACAGCCCCGGGTCTGATTTAACCTTAGCTAGCGTTACTTTGATGTCTGTCTAAGTTTAACTATATCATAGCTCTGCATCGAGCTCTACACAGCAACGCTTGAGCAGTTTAAAACACCAGCTTCTCCTGGGAGCCGCGGGGAGCCACCGAGGCACACACTGACCTGACACCTTAAAGACAGACTCCACAGCCGGCGCGTGTCTGCTGAGTGAGGCACATAACCGCACAAGGGCCATGTCTGGAACTGATCAGAGAACACAGCGACTTTCTCTCCGCTGTGCTCGGACACTTACACAACGATGTTGTTGTTGTGTGTCGAGCTTCGTTTACGCGTTTTTCATCATCATCTAGCGACGGAAAAGGACGACGAGTCAGTGCAATGTGTTTTTGTAGCCAGTAGGGGGAGACAAAGCGCTGGATATCAGCGTCAACGCGCTGTCCGAAGATCTTCATGTTTGCGACGTTTTCTGCTTTACCATCATCCCTTCATTAAATATAACTTACTATGTACAAACTCTGCATGTTCTGGTCATCTCAAATAACCCGTTTTTATTCGATTCAAATATTTAAACATGCATATATAGGCCATAGCCCCTGTTCATGACTGAAGTTATCTCATTGCACTTCATAAGGAGCAGGTCTAGACTGTGGGCTACTCTATGTAATATTGCAGAGTCCCGACACTTCCCACCATGAGCAAGCACGTGGTAACAAAGGCAAGGAAAAGAAGAAGAAGAGTAACTGTAGCAACTGTGTCTAGCTGAAACATGGGGGCAGCAGAAGACCACAGATCCAGACCCCACAGCTCCGGAGGCAGAAACACCTGCACCTGTGACGAGAAAGTACAAAACTACAGGAGAGGGGAGAAGTCGAGTTAGTAACATGCATTAATGGGATAAGAATGCATACAGATGGAGAGGAATAGGAGGAAAGAGGAGCTCAGTGCATCATGGGAAATCCCCCAGCAGTCTAGGCCTATAGCAGCATAACTAAGGGATGGTTCAGGACTACCTGAGCCAGCCCTAACTATAAGCTTTATCAAAGAGGAAAGTCTTAACCTACTCTTAAATGTGGAGATGGTGTCTGCCTCCTGAACCCAAACTGGAACCTGGTTCCACAGGAGAGGAGCTTGATAGCTGAACGCTCTGGCTCCTAGTCTACTTTTGGAGACTCTAGGAACCACAAGTAACCCTGCATTCTGGGAGCGCAGTGCTCTGGTGGGGTAGTAAGGTACTATGAGCTCTTTAAGATAAGATGGTGCCTGACCATTAAGAGCTTTGTAGGTAAGAAGAATGATTTTAAATTCTATTCTGGATTTTACTGGAAGCCAATGCAAAGAAGCTAAAACAGGAGAAATGTGATCTCTTTTCCTGGTTCCTGTCAGAACACGTGCTGCAGCATTCTGGATCAGCTGAAGAGCAGCCTGATAATAAGGAAGTGCAGTAATCCAGCCTAGAAGTAACCCGTGTGTTGACTATTATAATTAGTGATGTCATAGAACTAAAAAACATAGTCCCATGTCTGTTTCACGCTAAACGTTGCTGCTTTAGCCAAATGTAACACATGCACTATTCTGTTCCTTCAAATCTGAGTCTTTTAGTGAACATACACACCAAGCCCTGAAGAACAGAGCTGGGCTGTAAGGCTGTGATGCGACTTTGGTACAGTGGTTGCTTTTGGTATTGCAGAACAAGGAAGCCACTCCGGCCCAAAAGTACTTTTATTTCATATATCAAAGAAAGCTCTGGAAAGAGCTGGGGTTTTTTCTCCAGTCTACCATTTCCAAGGTAAAGAATACAGGAACAAACCCAAACTGTTGACACAAAGTCGTTTAAAATATCTTTGCATGCTGGAGCATTAAGATTTCTCTTCATCGGAACTAAGGGGCCCAAATCACACCCAGACCAAGTGTACAGGGCAGCACATGCTGTTTGTTTTTATGGTTACCGGGTGTTACTGAGAAAAGTCTACAAAAATAATAAGTGGTAGATTTTTTCCTCAACTTGCTATCTTTATCAGTTCTGGTGACCACTTTCTCTCCCCAGGGTAAAATCGTGTGTGTGCGTGTGCGTGTCTGTGTGTGAGAGGAATTCCAGAAGGCTTCAGTGCAGCTCTACTCCAGGGGCTCAGTGCAGATATTTCTGAGTGGATGATGAAATTCTCCTTTACATTCCTCTTCAACCTTTTAGAAAGCAGTCCTGGTCAATGTCACATTACACACACACACACACACACACACACACACACACACACACACACACACACACCAAACAGTTGGCTCAGCATGAAAAATACACACCCAAAAACTCTTGGACAAAACATACATGTATAATTTGTTGTTCATCAGAGAATGTTTATAGATATGCATCAAAATATACACATATGTTTGTGTGAAGTGAGATGTGCAAAAAAAGAAACAAAACATAAGAGCGTGTTGTATACAGTTCTGAATAAGAATTTGAAAAACAGTAAACATTCTAAAATCAGACCCAAAGTTGAAAAATCATTGGGAGCCTCCACACTTTCTCACAAACGCCCTCCTTATACCTGGGGCTGTGGTGTGAGAGCTGCCGCTCCTGCAGAATGACCTGTTTCCTGACATCTTTCCCACATGGCAACTGTCAAAGTAATTTCACCCATAAGTGGCACTTTTTCAGCCACCTGCAGTCTGGAGAACAGTTTAGGATAAATGGGAGGACCACTTGAAATGCAAAAATGCGGTTTACATAATCAAATGACCGGCCTATAATGGAGACACACAACATTCAAGACTTTCAGAAGGAGTATTTGTACAAATCCTGCGTCAGCTCACATCAACACGACCAAACCCAACCTTTCTACACTCAGATACGCAAGTCAAATTGGCAAAACATAAATAACATCTTATTGAGGTGAGGAGGTTTCTACATTTACACTCTTGACACAATATCCCCAAAAGGCCTTGTTTTATAATTTGATTTGAAACCCTTACGTTAAGTAATTTTCAATTTATTCTCTTTTATTTGATTAACTGTCATGTTTTTCTTTCCTCATTTATTTGATTTGATTCTTCTTTATTTATTATTTTGTCCATGGCTGAATTAACCTTCAAAGGGCCCCCAAAGCAAGACCATTAACCCCATCACTTTTCTTTGCATTGTTCCCCAAGTTTTCCTTTTCCTCCAGAGTTTAATATGGGAACATGTATTTGCAAAATCTGCCATAATAATAAAAGTGGTAAAATGAATTTAACATATGGGACTCACACTGTGAGAATGTGAAGGGGTCGCTTGTAGAGATAAACTTAAAGAGAAATCGCCTGAATCTGCTCCTCTCCTCTTCATGGAGCTTTCAGCTCATAGTTTAGCTGTCCAGCCCACAACTTTACTGCTCTGGTTCCTCTCAGTGCTCTCATAGCGTCGTTTTTAGAGAACAAGCTGTAAAAGCCACTGGGGTTTTAATCAAAACAATGGTGGAATTAAGAAATACTGGACTGGAATGTTTTGCCTTTAAGTTTACTCTAAGTGACAAAATACATACTATAGGCCATATATGGTATGAAAATGAACATGAGTTGAAATGGATTTCCACTGAGCAATGTAAGTTCCACATGGCTGGAACATTAAGAAGATATTCGTTCCAAATAGAATTTACTTGCATTATCAACTCTGCAGAGGAATAAAATATATTACTGTCATCAGTATGAATAGAAATACATTTTATGGTTGTTTTGAAGCTTTCATTTCATTTGCTATGCGCATACACACACACAGACACACAATGGCACTAGGAAAAAGAGGATAAGAAATGCTGGACTTTTGGTTTGTGATTGGTCAGCTTGCTGGATCTCAGCCTCAGGTGTTTGAGATGCTCACAGCATCAGTGGTGAGCCAGAAATAGGAAAATACAGTTTGTAAAGCAAAAATACAAAAATAAGAGTCCAAGAAAATGTGAAATGTGGTACACTGTGATCAAAAATGATAAGGGTTAAATGTAGCAGCAAAGTGCCATTAAATATTATTTTTCTTTTAACCAGATGCGTGCTGGCCTTTGGGCCCCTTTAATCCTTTAATTAGGATGCTGCACAGATATCTGCGGTTTGCTGCTGTAGGCTAGTTCTTTTCATTCTGTGTGTCAGATTACTGTACATGTTTGAATTCATACAAAGGTGCTAAAACAAGGGCCGGTTATGTTGCACTTGAGTAAAAAGTCCATTATAATGGCAGACAGAGACTTTTGTCAGACATCAAATGTGAAAATATGCTGTTTATGAAACATCAAGTCCCTTATGAGTAATAACACAACAACTCACTGTCGCCCGTCTGTCCCGCTCCTCTGATGGGCTTTGTGCAGTTTTATGAAGAACACTCTTCATCATGATGCCTCCGAAATACTTCCAAAATGTCAGTCTGGTGAGTGCAGGGCTGAAGCAGGGATTCAGTCCAGGACGCTTACAGCTCAGAATGTGGACCCTCATGGGAGTAGTGCTGAGGGACCCCTCTGAAGTGTGCTGGTAGCTGCTGCACCAGTGCCATGGAACATGGACGGAAGGTGGGTGATAATAAGAGCCGGACAGGAGCTGATAACCAAGATCTGTAAGACAGTCCTGCATCGGGCCTCCCTTTGCACTGAGCTCCTCAGCAGGCTCCAGCCCGCGCGCCCTCCAGCTGGAGGTCCTGTGTTGACTCTACTCGCAGGCCGACACGCTGCTGATCTTGGCGGTGTTCTCTGTCCAGGGCTGCAGGTTCTGCAGGGCGAACAGAGAGCTGTTCTGCAGGCACAGCGGGTCCGGGGTAGCCGGCTGGTTGACGGTCTTCTGGAAGGCCTCCTGCTGCAGCTGCATGAGGATCCGGTTGGCCTGCTGCCGCTCCGCCTCCCGCTCCTCCGCCGTCTGCCGCCTGCAACAAGGAAACACCGCGGAGTGGCTCACACTCCAAGCAAGAGAGTGTGCAGGCTTCCGCTCAAACTGTATGATATTCCCCATAATATTTAGTATTTTAGGTTTGGTAGCCAAAATAGGCCTGCTATGGACTATAGCTACTGCACGTTGCACATGCACGTGGAGACACGGTTTAGAGTATTTCGTAGTGTCCTCGTGCATTGTTAGACTGCTCCATCTTTGTATTTTTTTATTTTTTTTTTATTTAAAACGAATTTCCTCCTGTACGGCATCAAGCCACAGTCGGGACTTAAAAGTGCAAGGTGCAAATAAAACACGCCTGCGCCACCGAGATGCAATCTCAGCTTGTTTTCCTGCTAAAATAAATACCATTTTATTAAGGTTTCTGTGGCAGCGCAGTGCACATGATAAAAGGAGTGTTTCACTTTACAATCTGTGAATAATTACTACATCGAAAACTTCATTATTTTCAACGAAAAATAAAATAATAGGACAAAAACAGGCATAGCATAATAAAACCAGCCATGTTTCAAGATTATTTTTAAAATCGTATAGGCCTATTTGGCTACAATATCATGAGAAATTCTGCAGCCAGATTCTCAGCTAATTTTTAAAATTTCCTGTCAGGTAAACAATATTCATTATTCCAGGTGTGCGCTGTTTCTGCCAAATGCTTAAATTAAAAGGTTTTAATTTATATTTGGATCTCATCATACGGCCTACTTGGTTAATGTTAGGAAAAGATTTTAGATTGGGTTAAAATAACTAATCCTAACGTCAATACGTCAATTTACGTAACTTGTCTAACTTAAATAAAAATATTCAATGTTAACTTTTTATTTCAAAGGGGACACAAACACCAGTCTCCTGATTCAAAGTCGGGGTCCTGGCCCTCCAACCCCCCCCTCACTGCGTTGACGCATGACGCAAAAGGGATGCTCAGTGCGATACAGTAAATCTGACGAGGATGGGTCTTCACAATGACTCCATATGTGACGAGTCAGGGAGTGAGAACGGGTTGTTCACAGAAAGTTTTGTTTAAAAAAATAAATAAAAAAATACTGGTGATAAATTGCAGTTTGATTAATGTGACAAGTTTATTATGTTTCATTTATGAAAACATCATTCTATACTGAAAGAGAGATTTAGGCCTACATTAAATGGAATATTTAATTAAAGGAATTTGTTGAATCCATTAATAATTTAAAATGAATGTGTATGACACATCCAAATAAGTTTACAATGTGTATTTTATTTATTTAATGAAATGTGTGTGTGTGTGTGTGTGTGTGTGTGTGTGTGTGTGTGTGTGTGTGTGTGTGTGTGTGTGTGTGGTTACCTTTGACTCATCACCCTTTAAAAATATTTATTTTCAATTAATGGTTTGCCCCAAATAATGAGGGTTTATTAACAAATAAACATTTGTCTTCTTTTTTTAAAAAACAGTTAATGTTTTATTTCTGCCTCATAGAACAACAAACCACATCCTCCAGAATGATCCTGCTGCTGAATCAACACAAACTGAACTGTAACTTCATGAAGGCAGGATTTAATGCAGGACTGTTGGGTTAGCAGGACTTAGCTGTATGAAATAATGAGTGAATGCTTGCTAATTTAGTATTAGTGTAAAAGTTAGATATGGGCACACATGATTCAATTTTTTCCCATTTTGGTCCAAAGGGACTGCCTGCTGCCCTTCAAAAACCAATGGAGGACCCCTGACAGGCCATAGGAACCATCGGCCCTCCATAAAGAATGCGGGGCCTCTTTGGGGTTTGTGGATCTAAAAGTACTCCCAAAAATCAGCATCTGCTCTGTAGAGTGCAACAATGCATTGGTAAAAGAAAACAACCGAACCATGTCTTATCAACTGAAAAATGATTTCACCTCCATTTGGTGCGTCTGTTTTGGAACCAGGTTTTGACCTGAGCATCAGTCATCTTCAGGGCTTTGGCAAGGGCGGCCCGCTCAGCAGACGCAAGGTACTTCTGTCGGTGGAACCGTTTCTCCAGCTCACAGATCTGCAGCCGGGTGAAGGACGTCCGAGGCTTCTTCTTCTTAGGAGGCGTCCGGTTCTGGTAGGGATGACCTACACGACGTGTTACAGTCAGGGGTGAGAGGGACACTGGACAGGACCGGACAAACCAGGATAGGACAGGGCAGGAAAGAAAAGGACCAGACAGTACAAGTCAGGACAGGGAAGAAGGACAGGTCAGGACAGGACAGGGCAAGTCAAAGCAGTGTATGCAGGAGAGCATGTTGACAGAGCAGCAACACGGCCTGGTGCAGGACAGGGCCCTCAATAAAGCACCTTAAAACCTCCAGAATTGTTCTGAAAATATTAATTATATAAAATGTGTATATACAGCATCTGGTCTATACCTTTGTGTGTATCTCTGTGTTTTCTATTTATTTATTTATTTTTTATTAATCAAAGCACCGTTGCTTTTATTTATGTACTATATATATTCATATTTAACTCATAGCACATTCAAATACCTTTGGAGAACACGTTTCCTGCACAATTTATCACAATCATTTGTGACAACACCATGTCAGCCAAGTGTTCAGCTGTAAAAGGGCGTACATTTGACTTTATATCAGTACAGTGTAATATGTTGAATATGAATGTAATGTGGGTGTTAACTTAGCAAACGTCATGCAGGGATTTTGCTGCAGGAGCTAACAGAGACGCCGGCAGACAGAGCAGGTACAGAAACACAGACAAGAAGACTTCAGAAGAGATTATACAGCTCACTTCCTCCAGCACAGAAACACACAAGAAATACCCCATCACTGTAAAATGTAAACACCTTTAAATACTAGCAGTCTATTAAAGCAGTAATATTGAGAATACAACAGAGGGAGTACATCAGTCTGCAATATATTACAGTAATACTGCAGTGCATTAGAGCTGAGACAGACAGACAGACAGACAGAGGTTGATTTTGCCTCTCAAAGATAAATCACATCGAACTTAAATTATTATTATTATTGATCAGTTTAATGACTTCGGGCATACACAGATTTTATTGTAAAAAGTTGACCCATAATTAAAAACAGATGGAAGTTATTATTTTTAGTTTGTCAAAATGCAAATTTAGCTGCCTTAGATTAAATTTGTCCCCATTTGATTCTGAATTTTCAGCATTTACCTGGTGGTAACAATCAAGTTCAAAATGCCAAACATGTGAAATCTTTGTGTGTCTAATAGCCTAATTACTGAGTGAATAATAATAGCGATATCTTGTGAGTCATTAATCAGCGAATCATTTGTATAGTGAAACTCTGACATGAGTAGGCAATGATGAGGATTCACACCGGGCCTCTTTAGAGTTTGCTCAGTGGAGGTTCGTGTTTGCTGGATGGTGAAATGGTTTACAACAAGAAGCTGCTGCCTCACGTGTATTTGTGAATATCTTTAGGCTATCTTTTAAAAACAGACTCTTGGATTTCCCCCCTTGCTCCATAAATGATTTCATTCTGTCCCCACCTGTGAACCTGTCTTTAGTGTAGCGTCGGTTGCTCTCCATCCAGGGGAAGGTCAGCGCGGGCAGGGTGTTGATGGTCCCGCTCCCCGGCGGCGCAGAGGAGTTGCCACAGCTCAGAGGCCGGTGCGCGGGGACACGGATGACCCCGGTGGCGTTCACGTTAGGCCCGTTCGCATTCACGCCCATGTTCATGTAGGCTCCGCCTAGGGAAGCCACCCCGCAGGAGCTGGTGGTGCCGTTATATCCGGCGTTAGCGCACGAGAAGCCGCCGCTCATGCCGCCGTTCGAGCTGCTGTTGTAAGCCGCGTGTCCGTAGTCCGGCTCGTGCATCCTCATGCCCAGCATGCAGCTCTGCTCCACGTTGCTGAGGATCTGATCGATGCCGAAGGTGATGGGCTCCACGTGCGTGTGCTGCTGCAGATGCGCCCCCAGTATCCCTAAGTGATCCATGGCCTCCGCTATGGAGAGCCCCCCGCTCCGGCGCGAGGAACAGGGATTGCTCCACGCGCCGCTCCCTGGACCCTTCTGTCTGGGCGATTCTTCGTCTCGAGCTCCGGTCGTTATCTAGTGAGCGCGGGCGCACGTGTGTGTATCTGTCTGTGTGCGCACACAGGAGAGCGAGGCTGGATTGTTTGCCCCCCGCCCCCCGCGCGCTCGAGGACATCAATCAAACTGCCAAATAGACAGCGCGAGATTAAGACCCAATTTTAGGCCTGGAAACTCGATTGGCTAAAGACTGTGTGAGCTCTTTATGGCACACTTCATAACACACTGATTAACAGCTGGACAAGATCAATAACACAACTGCAGGCACACAAGGTAGCTGCTTCACAGCCTCCACGCGCAGTGATGACCGCAACATTTTATTTTATATAAAGCTTTAGTTCTTCAGCGTGTCCCTGCCTCTGACGTGCATCTCGCTGTTACAGCACTTCACAATAACCCGAAGGACTTTCTTCTCGGATCAGTGCTTGTTGCGCCATTGAGAACATCTTTTGTACAGTTTTGCTGCAGTTTAGTCCCAACTTTCTTTTCTCGACCGCGGAGATAACAGGCAATTTCTGACATTTTCAGAATTAACAGATAAGGTCTAAAATGAGCACTGGTACCACTGCAGAAGGCTGTGGGCCGAATTATCTTAGTATCGAGCTCTTAATGATTGCAGAAACACATTTTTTTACACCGTATCTAAATGAACTAGCGAGTTATTACAATCAAACGATGAAGGCCTAATATCTTAATTTAGCCATGGGTGGATTAGAAGTCACAGGGCTCAGTCAAAAGTAGGGTTTGTGGCTCATAATCCTTTACTATTGAGTATCTGGTGATCTAACATTTATTTTAATTATTTTTTGGGGTGTTTTTTGCAGGATACAGGAATCCTGAATTAAAACAAGGAAAGCAACAGCAGAGTAGCTCTGCTTAAAGACGTTTCCATTCATGACTTCTTGTGATATTTGTATTATATTGTCAACTCCACACAGATATAACATTATTGACACTATTCAGCCGAGATAAAAGGCACCGTTAATTCAATCAAAGCACTCTACAGTTGATCTTTTATTAAAATCAAACATTTTACACAACTGTTTTGATGCAGGCTGCAGACATTTGGGAACTTTAATAAATTGGCCTATGAGTTCAAATTATACAGTGTAAATTCTGGAAATGATTGATGTTGAATGTAGGCTCCTCATTTATTGTTACGGGGCTGGCGCCATTATTAATTCATGTTCAGAGTGATGAAACTGCTGCAAACACTGATCCGTTTTTATTTGTTACTGTGGGAACAGAGCACAGCTGCATAATGCTGCTGGAATATTTTGCTAGATATTGTTTCCATGGCATAATCCAGGACTAAAACCAGCCGGTCCCCCAGAGTTAAAGTGAAATTTTAATAATATAAATAAATGATAAGTCATTATTTGGCATTAGGCTACATTCATTAAACAATATTAATGAATAATGAAATGATCACGGGGTTAAATTAGAGGGCTATTCTATAACAAACGGGTGTGACTTTGTTTAATTGTAGATCATTCTCTAACGTTATTTCTGCCGGTGCTGCTCCAGGACCCAAACATACCAACTCAACAACAATTAAATGAAACATTAAACCATGTGGCTCATTGATTTTATCTTCTTCTAAAAGCCACTGGGACTTAATTACTTTACACGGGGCATTAAAGTATTAATATTTGATATGCTTTGACCAGCTCTCATTGGCCAATTGACCGACATCAAATTTTAATGCACGCGCGGTAGTCTATCCGCGCATTGAGGTGCACCTAAGTGTTTATCTGTAGACCACTAATGAGCATGAGTGGCTGGAAAAAGCCGTTCACTCACTGAGACATAGTGGACAGAACTGAGCTGCAGACAGGCAGCTGCTGGTGATCCGTCCGTTTTATACGGTCTCAGCAACCAACCTGTGTGATTAGGCTACATGGCACATTCAGTGACGTTAATTTCTTAAAACAGATGGAGAAAAAGAAGAAACACTAAAAAAACATTTTGCTATTATTTAATGCTAAATTATTTGTTAGAATTAACATTTTTTGCGTGTTTTGTTTGAGCGCGTTTAGTTTCAGATTTCCACGTGAAGCACCCTGCACTGGAGCTGTGGCAGGAGCAGGCCGGACGCGCCTGACAGGAACACTGGCAGTGGCATCTTTTCAAACTCAATTATCGAACGACCATTTTCATTTCAGCGACTCGAATGTCCTTATGGGGTTTGGGGGGTTAAAAATGATCTCCTCACTTCAAATGGAGACACGTATTGATTTCTTGCCCATTTAAGCAGCTTAAGCTCCACAGGCCAGAAGACCCCAGTGGCTGAGGCTGCCCATTAGAGACTCATCCTAAACTTTGGTGCCACAAAATGACCCCTCTCAGACAGGCAGTCCTTTGCATTAATCTGGTGGCATTTTGACATGTCGGTCTCATACATATAGGCCTAGGTATAATTTACACTGGGGATGCTGGGGACATGTTCCCATCACTTTTTGAAAGCAGAATGTGTTTAAAAATTATCTAAAAACAGTTGCACCAAGAAATATTAAGGAGACAATGTTTTGAGAGAGGTTTATTTGCACAACAATAAAACATGCAGTGCAATTTAAATATAGATGAAACAAATATGCATTGTCTAAAAAAAAAAAAAAAACAAGCTGCTGATTATAAAATGACCCAAAAACGTGCATGTGCTGATCATTAACTTTGACAAAATTCTTGACACAGTGTCTTCTTGTCCAAGTTTTCCGTTCTCTCCCTGTGAACATGACAAACAGCCATGCCATCTTGTTTCTAAAAGTATGCAGCATTAAAACAACAAGACAGGTCTAAAGGCAGATGTTGTTTTGGCATTGTTCGATTGACATGGTGTTGCATGTTTGGATGTCCATACTGATCAACCCGTTATATTTCCTAAAATTGCATATGCTGAAGACTGTTTAATGTTTTTTAATCTGAGCCCTTATGTCCCGACCACTTTTTCACGTGACACCCTTGGTCTCATGTCTGAATCAACACTCTGATCTACTATGAAACGTCTCTACAGTATTATATGGCCTTTCAGTGCTGTTAACAAACTATTTATGTCCTGAATCACTGGTAATGTGGTAATAGCAGGCTGGTGTAGTAGGCCTACATGTTTCCAGTTTATTGGGTTGACCTAAAACTAATACAGCAGGCCTGCAATAACACTTCATTAAGGACATAAAGTTCAGTTTCTGATGATTTCATTGGTGGCTGTAGTTTGTGCTGCTGGTAAACATTATAAATGTTTCTAATATTTTATCTGGCCTTATTGATACAAGTAGAACATTTTAAACAGTTTCACAACATAACTTTAATGAACAGCAACTCCTTTATACAGAGAGGCCTTCCAAAACGACTCAGAAACAGTTTCTGATCTGACTAAGATGACATTGTTAGTCAGTGTCTTCCCAAACTGTTACTAATCGATCAGTTACAAAAGTGATTCACATGAGCATCTTCTGATCTGTCGCTGCTATTATTAAGGTTTGCTGAAGTGCAGGGGAAGCATTGGGGAATGAGGTCATGGTAAAAACAAACCAATGATGTGTGGTGGTAGGAAATGAATATTAACTGCACCTTCCTGTGTCAGAGTTACACGCATATTTGGTTTTGGGAGGACTGTCTCTTTATGAAGGTTGCAGGGCAGGGCCGTTGTATTGGACTGCATTCGTTTCTAGATGTATGCAATAAACTGGCAAATGAGAGAGAGAGATTTTATTGTCCACAAAACAAGTGTATTACGTTATGTAAGTTCACTTATGTATATTACTTTACTTTAGATAATGTAACAAGGAAAAGGAAGAAAAGAAACACTGTGGGCTTAAATCAACAAAGTTGCAAAGAGTGTTTTCATGGATCTTTAATGATTCAGATTTTACACATAATATTTTTTCATTTTATATAAATAACTATAGAGCTACTATGCTGACTTTTTCACACATAACCTGTGCAATATTATTAATATTATAGTAAAGCTGTTCGCCCAACAAACTGCTCTGTTAACATTCCCATTCAATCAGCTGGCCAATTAATAAACATGTTTTGATCAAATACTATAGGACACACCTGAGTTTCCTAACTCTTCTCACCACTGAGATGCATTTACGGGATCGGAACATCCACAATGATGGTGGAGGTGCCAGGTCATGGGCCTGGGGAGCGAGGTAGGGCGGAAGTGTGGTGTCTGCAAGCCCCACCCACATGACATAATGGCTAGCCCTTCATGTATGTCCCAGATCTCCTTGCAACAACAGCAGGCCCTGCCATGTGGCAGCATCAGCCTACAAACCCTGGCACATTGTCCCCGCCTATGTGCTGGTCACAGCCCAGCCCTCTGTGGCAAATTGGACCCCACAGTGTAGGTCCAAAACCCGCCCCCGGCAGAAATGGGCCCTGCCCATGTAGCACCATGCCACCTCCCCCACTACTGGTCCAAGACTTGCTCCTGCGGCAGAGACATTGATTGATGTGTACCTTTCCAGAGTGTTGGGTTCTGGCTGAATAGAAGGGGAACCTCGAGCTGCAGTACTTTGAGACTGACAGAAGTTAATAAAGACTCTCTCTGTCAGGTCTGAAATAACAGTCTGAGGTACTGAGACACAGAGATAAGTGAGTGATCGTCCTGTTTGTTTAGGAACACAGGGAACGGCAGCCACCACAGGGAATGTGCGCTGTATGGACTCAGTGAGCCCCACAGCATCACTGCTTCCCCTCAGGAGGAAACACGCACGCACAAACCTGAACAGCATACATATACACATGATTTTAGGCGTACACATTGTCAGGGAAACAGGCTGTTTTGGTTGGCTGCTGCAGGCTGTTGCATTCATCAGACTTCACCCTGCTTTGGTGTCACATTAGTAGGAAATGTGAGGAGGCAAAGACTTCTTATTTTGTCTCAAGCACTTTCTTTTTTTTTAAATAATTGAGTCTTTAACAGAAACAAAGAACAACACAGTGCATCAAAAAACATTGTTGCTGGGCAGCATTGCAACATCTGCATTAGTCATATATCAGACCTCATTTTCAAAATTACTGACATTGGGGGGCTTTGTA